TATATATATATATATATATAACTAATAACTAATAATAATAATATATATATATATATATATATATATATATATATATATATATATATATATATATATATATATATATATACATTTAAGGAATAAGTAATGCGGTTGAAACAGTAGTTAACTGTACGGAAAAAAGTGGTACACATGCGTGTTATACGTGTATGGGTCGAGATATGGAAAATTGTGAAACAGGAACTGTATGTTGCAATGGTGCTTGTTTTAAGCTTATCGATAAAAGTTAGCTTTTTTTCTCTCTCTCAAAAATTATTGCATCAAAGAATAAAGTGAATGAAGTTGAAAAAGTCTACTCATTGATATTTCTTCTTTCTCAAATCCATTATTTTTGATTTCATTTGCATCCTTTCCTCTTCCATTCTTTTTCGTCTTTTCTTATTTTTCATCAAAATATTTTTAAAAAATATGAAAAATAAAGAAGATATGCAATTTAAAAGTATATGATGATAATAATTTCTTCGTTATCAGAAATCATATTATCTTATGAAGAAAGATTATAGAGTAAAATGATTGAATAAATTTGGATAAAGATTAAATAAAAGTGATCAAATAATATTATTGATAAGTCTAAATAAATTATCTGTTTTAAATATCATCAATTTGATGGAAGAGAAAAAATCTTTTTTTTTTTCTGAATCATTGATATGCTTGTTGTCAATAGTTGTCATCTGAAATATATATAGAAAAAAAAAAAAAAATGAAAAGCGCTCCATTAAAATGGATTGTGGAAACGGATGACATCATAAGTCGTCTTCAGGAAGTTTTCTCAATACTATCATATCCGTTTTGCAATAGCTTTAGTATCAGTAAACGTATTGTACTGAACAGATAATTCTTTTTTTTTTTTTTTTGCCGGTTTCAAAATTTAATGGAGAATAAGCGCATAGAATAGCATCATAAAAGCCTATTTAGTTAAATAATGGAATAATTTTTTTAATCATTACCATAAATTTTTACCATTAGAATTCTGTTTTTTCTTCTCTCTCTCTCTCTCTTCTCTTTTTTTCTGAGATTTGGATTTTTTTTAAAGTTAATTTTAAAATTCTGAAATTTATGATCAAAAAAATAAATAATTTTTGAAAATTTACAGAGCATAACCTGATAATGAAAGGTTGCACAAATGAAGATCAAGAAGATGGTAGCATGAAAAGACGAACATTTGATATACGATTATATTGGGCACGTAATGAGAAAGTTACAGGTTATTTTTTTTTCTTTTTTTCAAATCTTATCGATTATTTTTGCAAAATTTGAAGTAATTAAACGATATTTGTGGAATATTTCAAATAAAAATCATTTTAAAGCTTCAAAGAATTCATAATATTTATGAGAAATTTGCATTAAATTAATGATTAGAGAAGGGAATATATTCATGCAAGTTTTATGCTATCTAAGAAAATATTTACTACATTTATTTAATTAACTAAAGCCAAGATATTACATTAAATATAGATCTTAACAATATTTGAAATATTATTCTTATTTATTGAATCAACTGGAAACAAAATTCAAAATTTTAGAAATTAAAATTGTCAAAGAAGAATTTATCGAATTAAGATCCTATTGATACGACGATATTTAAAAAAAAAAGAAAAAAAAAGAGAGAGAGAAAGAGAAAACAAAATGAAATATACCTCATTATTATTACAGGCGAAGCATATTATTGCAAAGGAAGCGATTATTGCAATACAGGTTCAACACAATTCATTCCATCCTTATTTTATCACACCTTACTTAGTTTACTTGCCATTTTATCATTTTCTCCAATATATAACTGCTGATAAGAGCTAGTTTCAGAAGTAGATTAATTTTTCAACTTTTAATTAATTATTCTATGGTTTCTTTCATTTCTTAGAGGAATTATTTTCCTATTGTATTAGTAAATTTATAAAACTGTTCGATTACTTAAATGTAAAATACCATTTGATGGTGTTAAATGATGTGATTTGTAGATCGAATGCAAGTATACTAGCTAAAGTTAATTATCAAATTATTTTATTTCAATCTATCATTTAATTAATTATCCTAAGATTAGGTTGATGAATAAATCACCTGTAGTATATTAAAACAATTCATGTATTATTTATATTTAAACTAAGATATTTCCCATTAATGTTTATGTTAACATTTTCTTCAAATATCTTTAAACTTGCAACTATTCGCTAAATCTAATCTGTTTTTATTTCATCAAATTATTCATTTGTTATCGAACAGTTTTCAACATTCAATATCACCTTTCTTTTCATGTAAAATTAAACTATTGATTTTAATATGGATAACGTGGAATTTCTTTTTTTTTTGACCATTAGAGGTTTTATTGATTAAGGGAGAATTTATTCTTCATATATGTTATTAAAACAATTATTATCTGCGAATATCAGGGATATAAATGATTAATAGATTTTATTGTAAGGAAATAGTTTAGTAATGATTTGATGATAGGATATAAATGGTCATATTAAATTGAATCGAAATCGAATGATTTGTATGAATGCTGCTTGTGCATGATATACAGTGCAAGTTCCTTTACAAAATACATAAGCCTAGTTGGTCATTAGACCAGAAAGATATCCTTCGACAACAACAATATAATAGAAGTTAGATAAATGATTCAGGCATTTAAAACATTTGATCAATTTTTTTTTTTTGTAGTAAATCATTTGTCTGAGAAATATTCTAAATAAAATATGTTAAAAGCTTTTGTATTATGAATTTTAATTCAGTTATTCCTAGATATTTCTACAATACAAAAGTGTTTTAAAATATTTCGGTTATTTCATCAACAAATGTCACACTTTTAATTGTCAGGAACGAATAATGAAATATGCAAGAACTGTTGTCGATCTGTTGTCTTATTTTAGATTTTGGTAAAAATCTTAATTTATTTGTCAAAAAATTTTCTTCTTTTGTTAAGTGATATTGCACATCAAAGATTTGGCTAAATAATTGGTTAAAGAAAAAATGGTAAGGAAAAAATGGACCAAAGTATGAAACTCCCAACAACTTTGAGCTTTTCATTTAATCTCTCGTATCACATAAAATTTTTGAACATCCGTTCTTCACTTTTAAATGTAATAATTATATTAAAGGGTCTTCATAACTTGAGATCTCATTAAAGAGCTTTGCTAGCTATACAATCCAAATTCTTTCATTACTTTTAATTATAATACATTAAAAAAAAAAGAAACATTAACTTAAATCAACCTCAAATATAACTCAATTAGAGATAGAGCTACAGTGTTAAGGATAATGTATTGGACAGTACTGTAAACTAATCCAATTAACTGAATAAATCTTAACAACTCTACCTTTCTTTATTCCAATTACTATTTTATATTCGACAAATATTCTTAGCTTATGATCAAAAAGTTTAATTATATTATCAAAATTTTATATATGAGGCAAAAATTTGAGCAAACTTATTGTATAGGTATATTGATAAATCTTTATAATCTACAGTAGATGCTAGAATATTTCATTTCTTTCCCATTACTATCGTATTATTTTTGTATACGTATTTTATTTACTGTAGAGTTCGAAAATTCCATGCTATACGTTTTTTTCTTTTTTTTTTTGTTTCAAAAATTTGTAATTTTAAATTGTATTATTTCGTTATTCTTCCAAGAATTTGTAATACAATATTGTATTCAGTACTTTTAAAATATTATAAAGACAGGTATTAGTAAACCGAGAGAATTGCTAAATAAGCTGAAAATAAACATCATTAAATGTTTGCCAAAAATTATAAACATGAAATTAATTTTCAAAAATTTTTTTTCAATTATATTCTACAAGCACAAAATTATTGATTAGCTTTTGTGTATTCCCACCAGACAATGCCTTCTTATTTAATACGGCACTTTAAGTATACTACATTTATCCAAGATCTATAAAAATTCCTACCAAACTTATGTAGAATATTACATCATACGCATTACCTGATTCCAAAATTCACGGATGAAAAATGATTAAAAATATTCCATATTTATTTACTGCACCATAAAGCATTCCTCCCGTGCAATAAATATTGATAATTTCTTATTATCATAGAATTAACTCATTATCAATTTTAGATATTTTCTTATCATTGTTGATATTAAGCTGTATGGAAAATTCATCCATTCATTCATCATTGAAAATGAAAATTTACACATTTCTAGCAAAAAATTTATCCGGTTGTGAGTTCTTTCTATATTGTTATTATCAATCCGTAAAATCAAGAATGAAAATTTATTCCATGTCACAAAATCACAACTATGATATTATTTCATCTGAACTGTCACCCTCTTTGCAGCATTTCCTAAACCGTCCCTCTATTTATCTCATAGTTTTTAAAAAGGAACAAAAAAATTAAACTACTGAGAAGCTTTAGAACAGTTCATTTACAACATTTACAACATGATATTACATTAATTACACAATTCATTCAGTCTTATCCGACGTGCAAAATAAAGGTATGAATGATGATGATTCAAAAATTTGCATTTCTTGAAGTCATAGCGTTCCCTTACCAAGACCTTCTAACAACATGTCTTAATAGATGATACTCACTAGAACATATTTAGCAGATATGAATTTCCATAATAATATTGAACTTATCACTGCAATAAGAAGTTTCTCAATTTGAGAGATGCAAAACACAAGAAAAACAAAGAAATTGTAACATCTGAAAACAAGAAAAATTGTTTAAATTGCCATTATTCCCAAGATTTCATTTATGCTAATGATCATTAAGACAAATATTCTATTAATTTTTGCTTAATAAATCGTTCAGGTTTGATATCCACTTCAAAGCTAGACAAAGAGATAAATGATACATATTGATGGTTATCGAAGTCGAACAAACGAACAGCTCTGAAATTTTATCAAAAAGATTTACTACATTTACGTGAGATAGCGCAAAGTCACTGATTTTTTATATTTGAATATGTCAACCTCATTTATGAATATTTAGAAAAATTCTCAGAACATATGCACTGCATAGCTATCATCAAAAAGTGTAACTAATTCTGTTGATAACGCTTGCACGTAAAGTTTTTAAAATTCCTTCAGTCTGCTCATTCCGGTAAATCTAACAGTGCATAACACCAGAATTAACCAGAATCACACACCGGATACGGCCAAACAAGAATTTATTGGATTTCCTAGCCGAACTACTTCAAGTCTAACTCATAACTCATATGTTGAGCAGTCTGTCACCTCTTATCTTAACTATCCGTAACAATATTTCTCAGACATTAGAACATAAGTGCGCCCTGTCGTATTTAGGCACTACCCAGTAGCATTTACCCCATACTACAATGAATTTCCCAAGTCCAACTTCATAAAACCAACAACAGTCGAATTTAATCTAAAATTAACGACAGAAGTATTCACCGACTAAGCAGTTAGAAACAGATGATCATGATTGACATTCGAACGAAGATTTCTGAAACGAAACTATCGAAATGTTTAAAAACAACACAACACAGTAAGGGAAAGTTTTGTGGCGATATCTATAACATTCATCGACCAAAGAGAGATCGAGAAATCACAAATAGCGTTATGCACTTACCTTGTAAAATTTCGAGAATTTTTTTCCATAGTACAAATAGATTCATTAGAGATATATTTCAGAAACAAATGAAAGGAATAGGTAAAGTAGCAAAAGCTGCAAATTAACTACGTATTGAAGATGAGTCAAATTTGATCCGCTGAATCCGGAAAAAAGCGTGCTATTTGTTAGGTCCACATCTTTCATGATTTGTCGAGCCACAGAAAAAATTCCCGAACACTGTTTTCGCAATGAATTATAAAAAGATAAAACAAGTAGCTGAATATACCATGTTTTTGTAAATTATGGGAATATAAACATTAAAGCAAAACCCGTTCCTTCAAACATGATCTCTACGAGCAGCAACAATTTTCATATCAACAGGTGGTGCATAGCAGGCAAGTTCCTCATCGGATATAAGAAATGAAGTATCTAACAACTGATCTACAGCAAGTACAGTGGCTGTATCATTATCAATATGTTCTAATGGATGTGTTCGATCTTCATTTTTATTAGTTCTCTCAACAGATTCTGCTATCCTTTCCTGACGACGACTTATTATCCTGTCCACATCAATCTGAAATTCACCCGCTTTATATTAATAACATTATGACCTTGTAAATAAATAATTTCGATGATTTGAACAATAAATTAATATAAAGAGGTAACATTCTCCAATTCATAACGCAAGAGGGTTCTTGACGCTTAATCATTAATAACTTTTGAGATTTTTACGCCAATGAGTTAATAAATAAAAATGCTACCTGTTCGACAACGCCATCGAATGCCATATCCAATGATCTGGGTACCAGATTCGACGAGCTGACCGAGCTTTTCCACGCAAGTCTATGTTTCCTGAACATAATTGTGCATTTGGATAAGCAGAAAAAACCGAGTGGAGAATTTTAAAGTCAAACTAAATTCTGGAAAAACACAACATTCATAAACAGTTTTTTTTCTTTTAAATTCATAAACATTTTTTCATAAACATTAATAAACATTTATTCAACCCTATATTGTTAACCATCTACGTTTGAAAAAAAAAAATTAGAAAATATTAAGAAAAATTACCTGAGAATATGAAAACAACTGACGGTAAGCAAAGTGATCATAAAAAGAGTTAAAAGAACGAAAAGAACAGCTGCCGCAGCATAAAATGTTAGCAATAAATCCATATGAACATTGCACTATCTTACTGAAATACAATTGGAGCTAATAGCACCCAATTTTCAGATCAACCCCTGGTTCAAATTTTCAAGCTATAAAGTATCGCGCTCGTCGTCATTAAAAAAACCCTTCTTTGCTAACATATGAAAAATCTTGAAATGCTAATGAAATAGGAATAGGGATAGAGGAATTTAATTACCCTTGAACTATGGGGTCGTTGTCACCACTTTTCCTGCACTACCGACCCCTTTCACCTCCAGCATTTAGGACAACGATTGTGTATCATTATTAAAATTAAGAAGTTTGGCCCAGCATTTCAGCTGTTTATTTAATAGCAGTGACACAAGGAAACGAATTTCACATGTCACTGTTAGCTTCATCATGCAGGTGAAGCGAAAACCATTCAATCAATAATCACGAACATCGAGCTGAAAGATTCGCCTAACATGCGTAATTATGAAAACGCATTATTAACTTCAGTGATATTTCCAGTAGCTAACTTATGCTTTTTCAGATGATTAAAGTGAACTTAACCATCATAAACAAGCGATTCCACCGTTGGGATAAAGCGAATAAGCAAATTCCAGACCGAAATTGCGAAATAAGCTATAAGACCCAATAAGGGGTTGTTATAAACAATAGAATATTTTATAACTAACAAACTTAAAACAGATATTTTCCGGTTACATGTAGCAAATTAATGGATGAACTGAGTGCAGGCAAATTTTTTACTCAAGAATAATGAAAATTAATCAAAGGCACTACTGCAAGCTTGCAAGCTTGGAAACTATAACAAAAAATAAAATGCATTTCGTCATTAAATCTGAGATTACTACGAACTCGGTCAACTTCGAAAATATGGACTATATATTTTAAAAGGAAAATTAAATATATCACCAGGATAAATAAACTACAATAATATCAATTTACATCAACAACGGATATCTTCCTCCAGAAATCTCCCACAATTTAGTAGATGCATTACACAAACACGACCACGCTATAATACAATTGGGAAAATGAAGCTCATCAGAATATCACAAAAAATTAACTGAAAAATACACAAATGATGCCTTTGAACTTGAAGAATTACACTTCCCAAATAGAAAAAACTCGTTAGTGCAAAATTTTGTATAAGATGAAAACATAAAAGCAACTAATCAAAAGATAATCGAAGTCTCGGGAAACATACAGCTTCAACCACGACTATAAAAAGGCAGCATTTAGATATAATTGTACTATCTGGCTAAAGACAGTTCTTAAGCAAATCAATGTAGCTATAGGGAATTGGAATTTTTTGAATAAATGGATAAGTCAGAGTCATTCATTTCATTCTCTCTATCAGGAATTTCAGAAAACATCCATGCGAGCAGGCGGATAAACGAAAATGAGCAACCCATATGATTTTTGCGATAATTCACTAAGATATAAGAGAATCAAAAAACGATTTCACTGATATACATCTAATAATGAACGCCGATAAAATGAAATGGATATCGAATAACATAAACAACAGAATCAGAAATCATATTCCATATTTTCTAAAGCATATAAAACATGAGCAAAAGATCTAAAATTTAAGGGAATTCTTCACCGATTAATGACATTTCGACCAACAAACCAAATAGAATCACTTTAATTAAAACTAAAATTTAAACAAATATATATGAAGTAGCAATGTTACACGTGATAAGCGAAACAGAAAATGAAATAAAACCCTTATACTTCGCACCGTCTAAATGATCAAATTATGAGGAAAAAGAGAAAACGAATACTAAAATACGAGGTAAAATAATACAATTCTAAACATTGAACTAAACTGATAGAATCATCTGATGATGACAAGTTCCAAAAATACTGCATATCCCAAATGTACCAAAGCATTATCGCTATTCTAATTCCATTCGTAGAATATTATAAAAAATACTGAAGATTTCGCCACGAATGACAGCATAAGATAGCGATAATCGACATAATGATGAAATGTGATTATATTTACTTTGATTTACTTCTTAATTTAAAACTAACTGTTTTATTATTGTCGGGATATTTCTGAAGTACACTCTATTCATTTTTAGAAGTCGATTATCCAATTTAATCCGGTATGAGGCTTTTTTTTCTTCCCTCAGCACTCAGCGTACGACCAGTTAATGGTAGTGGCACTGCATAGCAGCTATCAAGATACATGTGAGATATTTCCTCTACTAGATCTGGTACAACGGATACCATACCTAAAAAACAAAGGCAATGAATGAAGCCGTGGAAAAAGCTGAGAAATTAATAAATCGTCAGAGGTGGTTCGACATTCCTTTTCCTAAAATACTGTAGGAGATCTATTAAAACACTGCAGACAATAAAATTGTCGATTACCATAGAAGTCAAAACAAAATTATTGAAATAAAGCTGACCGTAGATCGCAGCAGTTCTTGAGTGATGGCTGAATTGTGGATTTGACACCAGATCTTCGCATGCCATGTTCAATTCGCGAAGGAAATTTTCCACAACACCTGACTTCGTGTGATTCATTGTAACACATATATGAACTCTAGATTATGTATGCAAATTACAAAATATGGAAGTGAGATAAAACAGTTTGCAGCTGTAAAAATACCCGAACTGTTGAACTTCCTGACTCATACAAAGAATTGTATAAAGTAGAATATAATAAAGTAAAATATACTTACGCAGGTGGATTTTGAAGAGTAGACAAGACCCATCCTAGCTTATTCATGCGATCAGCTAAGGCGTAAACGTCGAGACCTCTTGTCGTAAAAACAACAGTTGTAACATCTGATTCACATAACAGTTGTATGTGCAGACATTTCTCAATACCTGTTCGTATCTCACGCACTGCATTAATGATTGCCTCCGTTCGTTCTGTATATCTGAAGATTAAGACAGTAAATCTTCAGATATACTTTACATAATCCCTGAAACTTAAAATCAGGCCAAAAGTACAGAATTCGAAAAATTTCAAACAAATCCTTGAACTGATTTTTTTTCCTCTATTTACTATCAGATGAATGAACAACCACACGGCAAAAAGAACTTACATCTCAGAAAGTGATAAGAGCAGAATAATTCACGCACATTAGCGAGTTAGTGGAAATGTGTACATCACAACTACATGATGATACATAAAGTAGTGATCATTATCAACAAGGTCAGAAAAAAACGACAAAAATGTAATTTCTTACAATGTAATTTCTCTAGTAGTCAACATATTATCTGTATGCTACACACATAAAAAACATAAATACTTTGATTAATATTTATAGATGTACACAAGTAAATAGCTGTTGCCTTACCCTCGTCTTCCGTTGTAAAGTAAAGTAGCCCATGTTAAAGCTATTGCACATCCGTCTCTGTTACCAGCTAAAGTGGGTGTCATATATATGCCACCAGGCCATTCAACGTCGCAAAAGTACTGATAATGAAGCAGAGAGGAATCGCGGTACAATATTAGCGATGTTCCTATTACAAACAATTTTCGTGACGCTTTAAATGATGAATAAATTTATAAAAATTTTGAAATTTCATGGAAAACAAAAACAAAGAAGTTCAAATTACCATTTGGAGCAAAACCATATTTTTGGACATCACAAGAAATTGATGTAACACCCGGTACACGAAAATCGAAGGATTTAACTCTAAAATCACATCGTTCCATGATGGACAGGATAAAGCCACCAAGAGTTGCATCAACATGCAAAGGAACATCATATCGTTGGCTTAACTGAAAAATACAGTAGAAATAATATCCGTTATTCCTCCAAAATTTCGAAATAATGGAGCGATTAAGTATCTTGTATTAATAAGCATTAATAAGCAAATTATGCAAATGCTTATTAATAAGCAAATTAAACAACAGTCCATATTAGCTCTCATATAATTAAAACAACACTTAAACACTTAATCTATATTTTCCGGAAATGAATTACACTGCTGACTTCGAATAGGTATGTAAAAGCTAAGTATGAAGCATGAACAATTAGTATCCCAAATTGTTTACTGCTGGACAATAAAGTTTAGCCAGGAATGAAAAAAATACCTCAGAAATTGCTTCTATGTCGTCGATTGTACCGAATGAATAGTTTGGGGCTGATGCCACGAGCTAGAATAAAATAAATTAGAAGCTTGAAATAAATATGTAAAATATGCGATATATTTTAAAACTGTTGCATCACAACAGAAAAATCTGTTGATTTGGATTACCGGAAATTATGAAAACAAACACACCATGCAAGTTTCATTACTGATAGCGCGCTTCATTGCACCTACATCAACTCGCTGGTTCTTATCAACGGGAATATGGCGAATACGTATTCGTAATACTTTCGCTGCTTTTTCGAATGCAGCATGAGCAGTTACTGGTACCAACATTTCTGGATGCCTGATTCCACGAGCAGACGCGCGATTTCGATAAGCTAAAATATGAAGCAAGATGCATGAAAATACCTAAAAGTTAAATGTTTATTTTTTTTTTCCTCACAAATTTCCCCTGCTAACTGACATTGATGTCTAACGTTTTTTTTTTTAAAAAAAAAGAAAAAAAAACGCCAACATTTTGAAACGCTAACCACTACGTAAGTTTCGCGTTTTTTATGAATCGACGCCACTAACACCACGTTATACAAATTCGAAAATTGTACAGAGTCAAAGAAAAATATCTCTCCAATTAAGACAAAAAGCACAAAAACATATTCACACATACAGTGCTTATTTATCGAAAATAAAGAAAAACAGTTACCAAAACATGCCAACATATTGCTTTCTGTATCGTTGGAAGTAACTGTTCCACAACAGCCAGGCCCACCATGAAGAAGTGAAGCAACGATCCGCACAATTTCTGCTTCCATTTTCCGGCAGCCGGGAAAAAGATCAGGATATACAGAATCCGAATATACGAAGAGCTCAAAAATCTGTAAAAAAAAAAAAACCAATTAAGTGAGCAAATCCCAGCTGAATTTTATTTCAAATCAAGAAAAAACCAATTAATTTTACTCGCTAACCTTTTGTAGCAATGCTCGGTGTTCTTCATCGAAATCAGCAAAGATTACGCCAGAAACGCGACCTTCGTAAAAAGAGAACTCATTCATTGTTTTGTATAATTCTGCCTCATGAACTATGCTAACAGTTGTAAGCCCTTGCTCAGGCAAGAACTTGTAGAACTCCTGTAAAACATGTCAAACTGAAATGGCAAGAAATCATGAGAAACACCAGTGTAAAAACAATATAAACGATGTCTCAATCTTCACTTCCTTATGTTATTTTCTTTATGCTGCTTTTTCTTGATTTAAAATCAACTCTAACTTCATCGTAATATGATAATGGAAATATTTGAACAGCATGGTAACACAATTTTTGCCAACGTACCTTTCTCTTGTCGTATTGATGTATCGTTTCTTCAAGATCTTTTCTTGCTTTTTCCATTTCTTCTTTTATTTGTGCATTTACCCACGGTATCGTCCGAAATGCGGAAAAAATCTGGAGGAAAATATACAACTTATAATGCGTGCTTTTATTTGACGAAAAGATCAAAATGTCAGGATTATTCCTTACTTAAAAAAGTAAACTAACAAATGAAAAAATACCACAGCACGAATACGGGCGGAAAGAGGGCGGTCTGCTTTTAGCAGTTTCCGTAACCAGATGAAGAAGCAAGCAACGGACAAAGTGTATGAGACGATTTGCCAAGGTTCCAGATCTATACACGCCCGGTTGAACGAAACACGACCATCATCCACAAACTGCGCAACTAAACGCCAGGTGTATCCACCATCTGATGCCCACCATTCATTCATTTACAGCTTAGTCCTGAAAATATCGGAAATGCCAAGAACATCTTGCAAATCTACGACGTAACGGATCAAATAGTGACCTGAATTTTAGCGAACCTATAAAAGCCACTACACCAAGTCACGCGCCATAACTTTCGTTGAGATTGTCAAGGTAAAACAAATTTATGAGGCGTTATGCTGTAATATTTAAAGTTCGGCTTCCCAGTTCCTTAGGAATCCCCGGATAAACACATCAAAGACATTACCTTGGCAGTTCTCAGTTCCGGTGCTAGTAAGTATAAAGGATATGGGATAAGAAATAAGATAAATCCAAGCAAATAAATTCGAGATATTCTTGTTGCTGATAAGTCCATGCTCTAGAATTACTTTCAACGTGTCTAAATTGCTAAGTAATTTTATCTCCATGCTGACTTTTGTCAGTCCTAATATGGTTATATAAAATATTACAAAATATGTTGCTAATGTCCAAACCATAGTTTTTAAAAGTACTGCAATGCTCCATATTCTAAATAGTTCCTATTTGTATACGGTAACGTAACAAAACATCGTTACCGAGTACACGGAATGTTTATATCAGGATGTTACAAACTACAAGATGAAACAATTTAAAGTGGCAAAGCGCAACACCACTAATACACAGCAGCTAAGAGAGCAGGAGAGGGAAGTACCTTAGCGCACATCACACCACAGTTGCACCACCTTGTAATAATTCTAACACTACTCACTAGCGCTGACACTTGACCACATCACCGGCCTGTTGCAAAATATCAGATTGCAGATAAATCTATTCAGGAATTTGAATTTAGCGAGCGCGAATGGTGGCATGGTTGTGGTGCTGCATCTGACCTATAAAGTCTCTTGCTGGTAATCCGAAGAGACGTCAATAAGGAAGGACTGGTGGATAGTTTCCAATAAGTGGGAGATTAGCTTTTAAATAATTAAGAAATATAAAACTAAAATTAAAACCCGAAGCCCCTACTGTTGAAGTATTTCATATTTGACAGTCCTTGACTGACGTATGGGATTTTAACCTTATTTTGAATTTCCTTTCAGTCACTTCTTTCCAACGTTTAAAAGAAAAGTGGCAACGATTTAATCTTTTTCGCTGCAATTTTAGGATGGCTACACATAACCAGTGTGAAAGTTTCGTCAAACACTTAGCTTTTATTAACAATCTGTAAAGATCATTTACGAAACCGCCTATCTCATTTACACGTTATAGTCTTACGTCATAGTTGAAAAAAAAAAATATTAGCACACCGCAGTTTTAGAGACCATAGAACAATCGAAAGATTTCTGAAGATTGAAAATCTTCATGTTTTTATCGAGAGCAAACTGTTAAAACAGATATTTTAGTAAATTTTATCTGTTGCTTGCGCTCGCCGCACTAATTATTATTTGTTAGTTGAAATAATTACCAGTCATGCTGTAACAGCACATCCTGGTAGTCAGTTTACTGTTTTTGATAGCCAACGTTATTTCTCATCTGTTGAGTTCAAAATTCGCAATTCATAAAATGCTTATCCGACTGCTTGGTATTACTTTATGCAAAATAAATGCAAAAGTCGCCGAGTCAAGTTCCACTTAAATTAAACGAAGGAATGTGAATCCTCTATCGTGTCATTTACTTCCCTTCCTATTGGTAGGTGAGGAATTCGTTCGTCACCCGATCGTTCTACCCTCTGTAGCGGTTCCTTCTCTTTCGGAAACCAGTTAAATGCCGTCACAGGACTTGTTTAGAAACTCGATATGAAATTGTCCGTGTCATCGGGATTCACCTAATTGTAGGTTAAATGATGAGGTTGTGATAAGTTGTACGCGAAGTACATCCAACTGTAAGATATTTTTTTTGGTCTCATTTCTGGCATAGTGTTGTGTTTTAAGGGATACTGAACTTACTCAATAACTTCAGTTTCATTTAAATTAGTAAATTTGTCGTTTAACTTTAGCACGATAAGCATTTTTTTGTCAAATTCACAGTATTTACTTTTAGATTCGAGTATTATAAGTTTTATGCAGTCGAAAATTTTTTTTTCACTTCCTGTACTGATTTTGATGGGTTTCCTAATGCTACAAGTGATACACATTCTTTAAGCAGAACATTCTATAATTCTGCGTGTTTCATTCAGGGATTGTCACTCAAACGTTGTCATACTCCATCCTCTTATGTTTTGGTAGTAATTGTGAAAAATTTCCTGCAAACTTTAATTCAAATACCAGGTATGGAATTACATGGACAACCAGCCGGTGATGCTTTGGAAGGTGCTGCAAACTATGTACACCGATCCATTCTCAAAATCAGCGAAGATTCTGATTTATATTACAAATTAAAGTACGACCCGTACCAACCAGGTCAGTTTATTTTCTTCAAGTCCATGTGGTAGACTGAGTTGGATATATTGTTTGATGTGGTGAGACTGTATGTAGTAGTTCTTTATCGTCTCTAGAACACTGGAATCGAATAATTGAAAGATTAGGAAAATACATATTTATTATAGACAAAATAACAATGTCTGGTCTTGCAACGGGCGATTACCAACCGCTTAATGATTTGGAGATACCAGAATTTGTTCATGGTAATTTGAAGCCAATTCCGCAGGAACTAAAAGATCAGCTTAACAGTAAGTTATTTCCTTGAATATTAGGCTTGTTTTTTGTTGGCTGATATACTCGTTCTATACTCATTGTGCTGATAAGTATCTTGAAGTAGTGAATATAAATAGAGTTGACTTCATTCTGCATAATTCTTTATCGCCAGTAATCGATCACACTGAAGAATTTTATAGGTACACAAAGTATTTGTACAATGGGTATATTACCCGAAATTGGACGTGCTTATATGACAATTGATGCCGACCTATATGTTTGGAATTATGAAGACAGGTGAGTTACTCCCTTATTTCATCGCTTCCTGAAGTAATCCTGCTCTCAAAAGTTGGGTAATTAAACCAATTTCATCAGCACCGAAAGATTGGTAACTGTAAATTTGTCACATTAAGTTGTCATCTCCCTTTTTTACTTTTCATAAAGAAGAGTAGTATAACACCATTTTTTAAATAGGTTTTATCAAAATCTAGCTGCGGAGTATGTCCTTGGTCTCTCCTAAAATCATGCATTATACAGGCATATTTGAGGGCATAAAATTGTTGAGCTAGACTGGAGTGAAGAGTTTCCTTCCTTATCCAGTTTATAGAATTTTTTGTTACATTATAAAGAGAATCTGTTAGACCCTATTTCATATATTTGCAGTTCGGATTTAGCTTACTTCGATGGAATACCTAATACAATTACTAAAGTGGCAATTGCGAAACCAAAGGCTGGAGTGTTTCAGGTAATTTGCCTTAATAGGTGCGGATGTTCATTTGACATCCATACCAGGAGGTTTCGTTGTTATTTAGATCGTCCATTTAAAGTTAATTTAAAGCTGTTTGAGTCAGTATTTTTATCCCTGCAATAAATATGTTTTGATCGATTTGATGCACTTTCACTTTCATTTCATGGTAGTAGTAAACTGTAAGAAGGGTGAAGGTGAAGGCCATTCGAAAATTGGCCATTGGCCAATCATCTTTTGTATAAACAGCTCGTTTTAATATATCTTTCGGCACTTGCTGCAAAAGATGTAGGAATATGTTCTTCTGTCTTATCCAAAAATTTTCTCCTTCAACTTGTAATTCTGTAGCAATTCCAGAAACATATTCATTGCTTGGTTATTGTAGCGACAACAAAAGAAATTGTCTTATTGGCAGCAAGTTTCACAAGTAATAATATGACAGTCACAGATATGTCCTCTCTTCCGGACGATTTCAGGCAAGCTGATATGTATCTCCTTCCGGATGCTCTTTTCAAGGTCTTTTTTTGTATTGGATAATTACTCTCAATCCGTAGTTTAAGCTGTTCTATTTATGATTTTTTTACTATACACTGTATTATTTCCACTATCAGATATGCTTTCCTCAAAGGAGAACACCTTGTAATCTTTGCTACCACCAAAATGTTATGCTTGCATTATCTGAAATGATAGTACCAAAATTTGATGGTTACATCATTTTATTTGGTTTCATTACTTTCGTCGCAAGAATAAGGTGGATCTGAAAGTTTCAGGTCCCAATTGACGACGCAACTGTATCTGATATAATTGCAACATCAAACGGTCGTATTTTTTTCACGGAAGAGGAAATTTTGTATGAGCTTGATTATCAGGTCGTCTACTAATTTTTAAACAGTCTCGCTTTTCTTTTTTAAATGCTGAATTCACTGCACTAAGTTTCTTCATTTTAAACTCTTGTGCATATCTTTTTTCCATATTTATTCCTTCAATTTGATCAAATGAAATAGGATAAGCTTCTGATTGCTCCTTTGAAAACTCTCTCCTTTTTCCAGGATAAAGGCTGGTTCAGTCGTCGATGTCGTAAGATAAATCATTCCAAAAGCTTCATTAGTTATTTTTTGCCTTCGGTATCTTTGATCACAGGGAAAGAAGGTAATGTTTTACTCTGTTATTGCATATTTTCTGAGACTTCCCTTGATTAAATTTATCTCTCATTAATGAATTCGTCAAAAGAATTGAAGGAGTGGTATTTTTATTTAATAAATCCAATGTCTTCTGTATTGATGTTATTCAGTTATTCTGGAGCTTGACGTTAGCAACTGATGAGAAGAAACAGGAGGAAATGAAGTTTCTTGGTAATAGTTGCATTTCTAATAACGTAAATATTTTAGAGCGGTTGGTACGATTATGTTTGGATGATATTAGGCATATTTTATATAGTCTTTCCGAAAATGGTTCCATACAGGTTTATGATCTGCATGCTGATGGAAATTCAATAGTTAAGGTGGCATCGCTCAACCATGGTCAAATTCAGGTCAGTTTTTATAATTTCTTATCAACTTATTTGGTTAGGAATACAGGTTTTTTGGAAATGCATCCAACGACCATATGTCCTAAACTTTTGAATTTGAAACGTTCAGGTAATAAATATCATCATCCTAATTAACCGGAATATTTGTTAGTGTGATAGTTGATGGCTTCTTATAAAGTCATTTCTGACGTATTGTCACGTCACTATTGTTGATGCACTGCTTCAAATAACTAACTGAGCAGGTCATGATGATCTGATTGGACAGCTCGTTTCAGTTGTTATAAATGATCTAAATCTAGGAGCTTGCTACAACAGAATGCCGATCCGTAGATGCTTCTTTTTTTGTCGACATTGTGGGCATTAGTCCAGTACCTTATACGCAGTCCCGATATCTGCATCTTGTATGTTATGAATTCATCATTATGCAGTCGAACTTATGTAATAGTGTTGCGAAAACTGATAGCTCCATTCCATTGTTTCGATCCATATATATTGTTGGATTTTTAGAATCTTTTGTAGTTGGATGAAAGGAGCATTTCTTTATCCTTTTTGTTATTTTATAAAACCAATACCTTTCTTGGAGCCAGTTACAACTTTTTTATGCCTGACAATTTGTTAAAAATTCCTCATTCAAATTCTGATTTATGTTTAGATTGCGACAACAAGGAAGGGTGTTCGTTTATTCTTTAGTTGTTTTCCACCAGCACCAAAGAACGTTTATCAGGTGGCTTCGAAATCATCTGTAATGAATTGGATGGTGTGCATATGCAATTTTCAAAAAATAAGAAAAAATAATCTATTGACGTAAAATTTATGGGAATTCTAGAATATATTGTGAAGCGGTGCTCATTTGAATGATAAAAATCAAAATTTCAGGAAGGCATGAGACCAAGTTGTTTGCGCTTGAAACATGTCCGCTTGCCTCCAGGGTATGGCATTTCGCCGGTATCCTTCCATCCGTTCTCCATTTACGATACTTTCTACGCTCATGGTATATATTTTTCAAATTTTGATTCCGACTAATCTATAGGTAAAGCACGTGACGGTTATTTACTTTGCCGGTGTATATTAAAAGCGACACTATTTTACTAAATATTTTGTTTTTTTTCCGTTTCTAATTTTCTTTTTTTAATTTTAAAAAGAAGAGATGCGATATTCAGCAAAAAAAAGAAAGAAAAAAAACACAAAGCAAAACAAAAATGAAAAGGAAATTAGCCCTAAAAAAGTGAAGTCTTCCAAATTGAGTGAAATCATTGAATTAGTCTACGTTTTTTACAAATTTTTGGAGCATTTTATAATTTTTTTAGAAATTGGTATTATGGCTGGCGAAGCTGGTATCGATATTTCTAATCTTTCGGTTTTTTGCTCATCAAACTTCCCAGCTTCTGAATATCTTGTAGAGAATGTGGTTAGTTCTGCTTCTACCACCACTAGTTTCTACAGCTATCTTCACTCGCGTTTTCATCGTAAAGTATTAGCAGCGCTTCTGCTGTGTATATTTATACCTGGATTTTTTCCTAAAATCTTTCAGTTGTGAAATTCTTAGCAGTTAGCTTCCAAGTCCAAATTCGTCTTTCGAGTAATACAAACTTACGGTTGAGGTAGGTTAGCTTTTGTCTCTGTATATTGATGTCCGCCAGTACAGATGGGATTACTGCTGACCTGTCAATTATTAACATCTTGCAGATTTATTTCAGACACAACTACGTCTCAGAAGTTTGGTAATGACGATAACAAAAACTGTATCCAGAGCATCTTTTTCTGTACGTGACGTTTTTTTGGACGGATTTTTTTTGTGTGGTCGTTAGAGGGTCGAGACTTTTTTTCAGAAGATGTCCACTTTTTAAAGGTATATTGTATTATATGTTGTATTTCAGACAGCTACATCCTCCCGTCATTTAGCAGGTCTTTCACTTTTCCGAGATACGTCTGGGAAATTCATTATTTTATGCGAAAAGGTATTCATTTTACACGAATTTTCTTTGCATTTATAATTAATACGCATTGGTGATCTATGATTATAGGCTAAAACTAATCGGTTGAATAGCTAGTTGTGAGTCTTTTCGAAGATTAATTTTTTAGTTATCTTAACATCAGAGGATTTACTGAATTAAATGTACTTTCAACTGCGATCTAAATGACCTACTGCCTAGATCTTTCTCTTGTATTTGAAATGGTTATTTGCACGTCTCTGAATGAAATTGAAATTCCAGGGAATACAAATCATCGATCATCGTGCTCCCATTGATATGTTACGTGATATTCTTCTCCAATTCGGACCTGATTCTTCACATGCTAGCCATTTCACGCAGTTACATGGATTGGTTAATGTTGGCGATATGATTCTCACAATTCTTTGCACAGACTGCGGAGCAAGCAGTGCGATAAAGGTTAACTGTGTTCAGTTACTCCATGAAAAAAACGCATACTGTCTAACTTTTTATAAGAGCAATGGCTTAGGAATCAGCCTTGAATTTCAAAAAAATGTTACAGTTTTTTGTTTTTTGGAGAGATATTTGGCCGTTTTCAGGATTCAGCTTTACGACTGTTTTTTATGTTGGGCAATGAAAAGGTCCGAAGCAGATATTTGACATCACCTTTCCGCACGAACAGTTTGAGCCAGTTGTCAACCATTAGCGGGTCACTTTCTGATATTTCTCTGCAGATTCGCTGTGAGTTTTGATTCTGGGGATTAAAGTAGATTTTTGCGGATGAGACTGTCTTCTTTTCCATGATCGTATTTTGTCCAAATCAGCAACATAAAAAGGAACATCAACTTGTTGAATTAGAAGTTTTGAATTCGTTGAATTAGGACGCTTCGTCAAAAACTGCTATGATGGTTTTGTGAATGCTGAAACTGACAGTGGTGGGTTTAGAATTTCCAGATTCCTCGTTTAAGTCAAATTTTAACTGATACTTTAGTTACTGAAATTCTGTTTTTGTTTTCAAATGCTCTGGAATATCTGGTGCTGTTACAGCTCCACTATTCTCATCCACTCCCCAACAACAAAAACGTTTTGTTCGTCCGACAAGAGATTCCTTTCCTGAAATGCAGCAAATATTAAGCGATGACGAAACTTCTCTGTCTGCCGAGATTCAAACATACGTAAGCTAATTGAGTGGTTAAGAACCTTTGGTAGAAAATTTCTTTGATTCCCTCTTTGTTCTGTGGTTATTGTTACAAGTCCAACTTAATAAAAATTTCGACTGAAAAAATCTTTTCTCATTAACTGTATGTCGCTGTAGGCTCATGTTGACTTTTGGTTTGTAGGCATCGATGAGCTCCCGACATGATGCGCTGTTCCTTCATTTTTCTCGGATTGTTGAAAATTTGTGGACCAAGCCTTTATGCCAGTTGCTTCCAGACAACAAAGTATTAAGAACTGACTTTTTTTTTGTGTGTTCATTAGTACTTCACTGTTCAAAGTTGAATTCATTGGGATGCAAATTTTTAAAGTTTATGTTTTGAAAGTTAAAATTTTTTAAAAAAAAGTTAATCTTTAATAGTTAATCTTTAATAGTATTTTTATTTCAGCTTATTAGTGTATATGGCGTTGATGAGCTAGAGTGGTTAATAAACCAGCTGATACCATTCAAAAAAATCATCGACGATTACGGGTTGATTGGGAATGTTCAGGAATATGTTCAGCCATTCATAATAGATAGAGATACTCCAGGCTGTCGCACTGAAGGTATTAATTTAAAATTGTGGTATATAAAGTGAATAACTAAAAATATGATGCTAATGTCATAACTTTATGACTTATACGGATCTAACTTTTTTGTTTTGTTGAGTATCATTTACACTGCTGATATTGCTTTAGCGGCATCGCATTCTGAACGTCGTTCATTACTGAGTTTCTGTCAACTTCTATCGCTAACTATAGAGGTGCTGATGTTATGGAAAATCTTATGTGAGCATCAGTTTCACGTTATAGCAAGTCTTCTCAGTACGCAAAGTCGAAGTTCTCTGAATGCCACTAGTCTCTGCAGTATAGTACTGAGTGGTCAGCAGGTAAGAGTTTTGATGCATTCGCTACGATTACCAGAGTGACTTTATAATTAAGGGAGATTCCTGGTAGCAGCAATAACTATATAATTAATACGATTCTATAGCCATATATGACATTTCGAAAAAAGCCAAACTTTATTTATCTTATTGTTTAATTCACTTTGCATTTATCATTTTGTTTAATTCACGTTAGTTGCAAAAATTATTAGACAAAAAAATATTCCAGTTATGTTAGGTATATTTCAGTTTACTAGATTTGGAGAATGTCATTACTTTTCTGACTGTGCATCACTAAATAAAAGATTAATTATACTTATTCAGCTGTGTGCCGATTTAATAACATGCCTAGTTCGGCATTATTTGGGTGACAATGCAACAACTAATGTATTATGCAGCGAATTGCGTGATTGTTGCCCTTCACTTTTTTCAGTGGATGATGCCAATACAACGAAGGTAGGATCATTATTTTACAATAACATTTGGCATCACAGTTGCAAGTTGCCAGAGAAGTTACTTTTTATTTGACTATGCCTGAAGAATAGATTTTATAGATATGTAATATATATATATATATATAAGAAATAGGAAACAATTTCGCTTTGTTGTTGGTCGTCAACTACCTTGCATTAATTATAGGGACTTATAGAGGAATTAGCATTTTAAGTTCGTAATCCACAAACTCTGGCTTATAATTAATGTGATGGACAAGTATAAGGCACCACTGTTGCAAATCTTGGAATTTCAGGCCACAGAAATGATCGAGGAAGTGCGTCGTTTGCCGCCATGTTCGGCACGAACAGAAATATTGGCAGAAGCCGTTAGACTGTTAAAGACAGGAATTCAGAAAATTAATTTGCCAATGATTTGTCAGCTTCTCTACGAAGGTAAGAACAGCTTACCTTATTGATTTGTATGGCGTTCTGCTGTATTCTTATTAAATCTTCCTATATAAAACGTGGGTCATAATGTACTGAGGCGAAAAGCGATGTTAGTATGCTTAAGTTAATAATTTATTAGAATTCCTATTTTCTACAGTGATGACTTCTCTTGCTAGTTGTTTCGTTCCACACTTAGACTTAAAAAACCCAATTACTGAATAAATAACAAGGGTTGACCTGTTGACCTTCCATGTCATTAAACTACCTCAACCGTTTATGTAACCGTAGTTGGTGCGTTAGATGAGGAAAGAAGGTTTGACACCACTAGTTTATATCAAATAGTTGTTACTTTCTAGGGAAAGGAGGAAAATCGATTTGGGAGTAATTATTCTGCTCTCTCTTTTATTATCAAGAAATTTCTTAATTTTGTTCGCAATGATTTTCTCTCAATTAACATCTCGAAATCTTGTTTGTCCCTATAATAATATGATATTTTAGTGGATTACGTAGAAGGGATAGTAGATTTGGCATTGGAACGTGCGGAACGTGATGATACAAAGTTACTGGCTGTAATGGCATACAAAAATCACTGTGGAGAAAACGATATATTTGCGCAAGAAGCGTTTGCAAAAAGGTTTCTCTATCTCAACCTTAGGCTGATTACTGTCTGGTCAATTATTGTTTTCTTACTTTAATTTAATTGGAAATTTTATAGAAAGGATGCATACAAATGCATAATTGATGCTTTGGATCGTCTGATGAATGATCAAAAAACTGCGGGTACAGTGGATCTACTTAATCCATCGAAAGATCTCATCATCCGAAAAGTTTTGGAATCGAAAGACGAACTTGCAAATGTGGCCATTTTTAAATGGCTTCTGGATAACGATTTTAGCAATGTTGTTTTACAGGTTATCCTTTCATGTTGTTGTGTTTTTCTTTTTCTGCCATTAAGGTTCCGTTGCATTTCAATTTACAAAAAAGTATGCTTGGGGAAAATGTGTTTTGAGGTGAATAAACTATTTCCGCAAAAGTGGCAGAACTTGTTTTGATGTTTTAAATTCATTTCAGAGTAAATCTCCATTCCTAGAATCATTCCTTCATCGCTGTGTTGAAGAAGGTGGCTCAAGTCGTTACTTAGATCTCTTATGGCGATTTCATGAGCGAAACGGTGATCATGTGAAAGCAGCTAGTCTTTTATACCAACTTGCTCAACGCGAAACGTACCCTTTCCACATTTTTCAGTTCTATGGTATTATTTTGATAACTTCCTCGCAATATTTTTATTTGTTTCAAGGGATGCATTTGATATTCAACGTCGTGTTGCATATTTGTCGCAAGCTGCAGTGTGTGTTCAGGCAGCAGGTCCGCAAGTTGATAAAGATGACTTACATGATCTGATACTAGAAATACGTGACAAGCTTGATGTTGCGCAAATTCAGCTTGCTACTAGGTCAGTTAAATTAATTTTTTTTCAAAAAAGTTTCTTTTTGTCACATATTTCGTTGTTGTATATAATTTTAGGCTCCATTGGGATTCCTCGTCTTTTTCGTTGTTGCTGGTTACCTCCTCACCCTTCACCTGTCTGCATGTTTTTTGAATCGAAGAACTGATAAATGCACTTTTGACCTGATTAGCATGGAAATAAAGCTTATTGTTCTCAAATCATTTCATCTCTTTTACGCTGGTCAACACATTGGCGGCATTCCTGAATTTTATAATTCTTAATTTTTTAATCTCGTCCATGTATCGCCGACGCAAACATTTATTAATGATTGATATGACGATAGGGATTTGGTACAATCGATGCCGCAGACTCGTGAAACGGTTATAGCCAGAAATAGTCTTGAAAAACAATTATATACGGTGCAGGAACTTTTCGAGAAATTTGCTGTTCCATTGGATTTACCGGAGATCAAGCTTGCTCTCTGTTTTTGCTCATCAACTTATGATGAAGATGCTATCGAGGATTTCTATACTGAAATAATTGACAGAGGTTATTTCTTTGGAAGTCCTAAATTTTACTGAATTGAAGGAAATCTATTTTTTACATATATATATATATATATATTTTACATATAGATCTCGCTTTGCATACTATTTTTTCGGCTCTTTTCTGCAAATTTAATGAGGTGAAATGAGAAGAATAGAAAATGAGGGGAATAGAAACATGAAAAGGAAGAGCAGGAGGCGAATTCTGATAGGATGGATGCTATTATTTTGTTTTCTTTATGATATATTAGGAATGTGAATATTTGTATGGTACCGGTTGTAATTAGTAAACAAGCTTTTTTTAAGTTCCGTAAAATGGTTCAAAATTACCAAATTGTCTTTGACTAATGGCATTGCTTTTATAGAGTTGTTTTCATCTGAAGGCGAATCACGGGAGGTGCGCATTCAGCGTCTAGGTACGCAAATAGCTAGTTTAGCAAAGAAGTATTCACTGGTACCGAAATATTATCCTCTTGGTAGGTTTTTCTGATTTTCCTAATGTTATATAAGAAATGTAGTTTTTCCTCTACATGATTTGCAAAAACGATGAGACTGTAAGGTACTTTAGAATGTGACGAGTACGTAACCGTGAACTATAGACTGAAATATGTATATATCCTGTTTCCACTAGCCAGATAAAGACTGTAAAATATTTTGGGATGTGATGATTACGTAATCGTGAACTATAGGCTGAAATATGTGATATATCCTACTTCGTACTAGCCAGATAACATGAAGGGGAGTTGTCCTGTCTCTTCCCATTGTTATTAATTAAGATCTGGTAGATCTATGCCGAAAACAGGCCAGAACCTTGATCTTTCTTTGATGCCCTTACCCACACTCTTCATCTTTCTGAAGTGTTTTCCAGGTGTGTCTGTAAAGGCTGTAAAACTATCTGTAAAAGTTTCCCACGTGTGCATCTCATTTGCCGATTTTACACTGCTTATAGGAAATATTTGAAAATATGTTTCATCTTTTCTTCTTGTAAAGATGATGTGTTGTAATTATTGCTATACTGTATTTATTGTCTTTTCAGAGATGATACTGTCGAAATTGTTGAACAGAGGAATGCGCGAAGGCTTTTCACCTTCGTTTTTTCATTTCATCGGTGCAAGAATTGATGCGCCACTAAATGTTATGGTTGATACATTGTCATCAATGTTCAGGTTAATAAAGTTTTATATTTATTTCTCGTCTTCATTTATATCAGTTGTGACTCTTTTTACGAATGATTTGAAATTACATACAGATAGATAAAGTACTATAGTTCTGATATCAAACAGCGAAATTTTTATAGGAAAGATCCCTTTTATCAGAAGAATAATACAGCATCACGTTACTTGATGCGGTCAGCATTACATGTTATAACACAGTTTGTGGAAAATTCCTCTCGTACTTATCAGCAGAGGTAAGATTTGTTGGTATCACTTTCTCAGTTATCCTTCTCTCCAGAGCAGTGGGTAGGGCATTTGTCTGAAAAGTACAATAATGACATTGAGAGGCGAATTAATCAAATATGAGTTCTAAGATTCATTGCAACTTTTCAAGCACCCAGTGGAAGGATATTATTGATAATTTTTGTAGGTAATATATTTTGCAGTAGTTTCAAAATCTCATTTATTGAAATATCATAACTGGTGTTTTTGTTGCAGCAAGACATCACTGGCTAGCAAATGTTTAGATTTAATAGCGGCATTTTTGATAAATCTTTCACAAGCAGAGTCCACTGTTTCTGACCAGAAAAAACTCGCCGAAACGTTCAAATCTTTGCAAAATATGTTGGAAACTATGTGAACTTCAATGGTGATTCTTTTTAGCTGTGGTTGTTCGATTGTTAGTTTATTTCTTTTGTGCTTTTCAGTTGTATTGAGATTATTTGAAATAATGAACATGACCTAAGTGTAAACAGTATATGTTATCGCTGTATTGAGATAGTATGTAAGGCTATATTCTGCTCTAATAGGACAGAATGGAATTTCAGGTTTGGAAGGGATTCATATTTTTCACAAGCTGTTTTATTTTGAGGAAAAGTCAGTAGAAAGATTTAGATTTTGAAAAGTTTAGAATCCTGATTGCAGAGCTACCTTCCAATATTTGTGAATCTTCTCTGTATTTCGTCAGGTTTTATTTTAATTTAAGACTTGATTTAATCTTCTAATCGATTTGTAAATATTGAAAAAAACCCATGCAGGTTTTGTAAACGTGAAGACTTCGCAAAATTCAAGTTTCCTTGGTTTTGTTAAATTTTTAGAGGGGAAACCTTTACTTTTTAGATTAATCGTATCAGTCAAAAATTCAGAACTTTCCTTTTTGAAATATGGATGAGTTTATGAACTCTTACACTACATTGACTTTTAAGTTACTGCACTATTTTCATAAGATTAACTTCCAGAAAAGTTTTCCCTAGTGCTTTCGAAAACGAACGAGTAAATAGAACTAAAGATTAAAATTTAAGCTTGAATTGGAGTCGATCTGAATTTCTTGATATTGTAATTCATATGAAAGTTGGAAGATTCCATATTTATTAAATTTCTACGGTACACTACTTAACAAGTGTTCCAATAATTTTTTATTGTTGTCTTTTCGGCTTAGTGTCTTGTTTCACTGCATTTACGGAAATTTGTCAAATTTCAAAACAAATTTTGCAATGCTTTGGGATTTATGTTATATGAAAGCATGAGTCGAAATCTGAGATTCAAAATGATGCAGATGGAACTCTTAGATGACTGATCTCTAGCAATTCAATTTTGTTGTTGATTTACTATTGTTGTGTGTTTTTGACAAATGTTTAGGGAAGGTTTAATTTGAATGCGGAACTGTCATCACTTACATTTCTAGAATAAGATATTGTTGGATTGTTTTATTCATTGGTATGTTTTTGTTTTTTCTGGCATAGCTGCCACTTCGAAGATTTGTGTATCATTAATTTTCTGAGTGAGTCCGCTTTGGTACTTATGTTGTATTTATTGTCACAGATTTCTCGCTAGTAAAATTTCGCCTATTTAAAATTTGACTTTGCATTAAATGATCTTTCGAGTCTTAGGTGGATACAAAGGCGATAGAAGCGTTGTATTTGATCATATTAGATCAGTGGAGAGAAGGGAGTAGAATAGCCCGAATTAGATTCTGGGATTTGGGTACGAAAATTGATTGGTGAGGTAAGGGGCTGCATTTTCACGAGGAGAATTAGCCATCAATCAATGTTGGCTGTTCTCTAAAAGGGACATGGAATTACTCTTCTCCGGTTAAACCTTTAGAAGTTTTGATTTATCGTTAATTCAGCGACTTAAATAATTAGACCGACACCAGCACTGGTCTACGGATTGTCAGTTAAGTGACAGGTTTGAATCCTGCATCCTCTTGTATTGAACTTTTATTGTTGTGAACGACATTACCAACTAGTGGACAGTCATTGGATAGACACCATTCATGTTATATCCCCGTATGAGTGGTCTGCTACAGAAGGTAAGAGTGATGGAACAGAGGATACACTACGGGAAGTGGTGGGTTATCTTTCTCCGTATGTAGTATTTTCATGTACCGAGGAACGAAGAGAAAAAGGACGGATTGTATGACATGAAATATTTTAATCATTCAAGTTTCCCGTTTCAATCGTCTTTTTATCTTTCCTAAATTTCTTTGTTTTGACATTACTTCATCGTTATCAACATTGTTTTATTATATCATCCCTCTCACATTTTCCATTATGAAATTTTACGAAATCTAATAGAATTTATGAAATTCTCCTATTTTGAAATGGTATAATTTAAAATTTTATTGTATTTTGAAAAAATTTTCCTTGTCTGTGAAAATATTCCTTCATTAAATCAATTATACGAACACATTGCTACTGGTGCAATATTAGCAATGGTTTTGTTATTGCAAAAGAAAGCCATTGTACGTATCATCTTAACATTTTTTGCAAATAACTATTCGTCCCTTTTCTTTAACATATTCCAATCATTATTAGTGTATAACTATTGAATCTAGTTAAGCATAGAAAAATGTTGTTAATGTTGGATAATAAAAATCAATAGAGATTTCACAATCATCATGAAATTTAACTCATCTTTAGCACCTCTGTTCTTAATCTTTCAGAGATTGGATGGAATATTAGGCCATTTAGCCACTGGTAAAGAAAATTTTACTATTTCATATCCAAATTTGTTCTTACCATAGTTTAAAATTGTACCACACAATATATTTAATATTAGATTCATATGAGCCCAAATAATAATTATACCAATATTTTATGCCACTTAGCTTCTCCTTTTTATTATTAATTTTGACACTGTGTAAATTTCGAAAAAAAAAATCCACAACATTCGACAGACGATAAAATAGGAGAGTAGTTGGAAAAACTAATTGATTTCGAAAATTAATTCCAACAAAAAACAAAAAAAAGAAAAAGTATAAATAGCTTTGTTCAATATCCTGTTCCCTTTGCTGTGACTGTGTTATATGCCATTCCGATGCTTCTTTCTTGCTTTATTTTCAGTTTTTGTTGATTATTTACTGCTTCCTGCTATATATAATCTCCTAGACTTAACGGAATGATATTTTAAAAAAGGCCAAATTCACGTGATATTTTTCTTCTGAATTCAAAAATTGATCATAAAAAAAACTGAAGAAACCCCTAATTGTTAGCAATATATTTGGCACACGAACTGGTAATAAATACATAGCATGCTGGCGGTAGTAATCAACAACCTTGAAAATGACGGAAATAATGATTGACGATTAATAGTTGACAATGACTTATCGAACATAATTGTCACAGCTCTCCCCTTACAGCAACATGAAAAATTTTCGGCGAACTTAAGCTCCGCCATCCTGCCGTCGTTCGACATTCCAAACAATTTAAGAATTGTGGAAAAGTTGGAGTTTCATGATCGATCAAATCAAAAAAGTCGTCCTCTTCAAGTGTCGTTTTCCTTCTTCATCTTATACAGCAATAATGGATCATTTTTCGATTGGTCGTGATGTAGACGAAAAGTGATTAGAAATGATTACTGACGGAAGAAAGAATCTCCAAAGCACTTCTCAGAAATCAAAGGGTGCACTGAAAGTGTTCATTTTTTGATGGTCTTTCATCGGTTTAATTCACTGAATTCTGAATTACGACGAAACGATTACATTCTAGAAAATGTCCAGCATATCGATTAAATACCTCAGTACCAATGGCTGGCACTGGACAACAATGAAAGAATCCAATTCTTCTCCACGACAATGCCCGACCATGCATCGAACAATGAACGCCTTTGTCGCCGTTTTCCTTCAATCGTGACAAAAACTGAGGGTTCTTTTTGCTTCCTTGGGTAGTACTATCTCAAACTTGGGTAATTAAACCTATTATTACGACAAATTTATTAATACAACAACGAACTTAGCGATTACGATATCGACACAACAAATTGATGACGAAACCACTAAGGATAATGGAGATCAAATGATATTTAACCGACCTCGATGAAACACATTTGTAAAATGACTTGACGCCCCTCCGCTTCCTTTTGTGGGAGGCCTTGAGCATTCTATGATTACAAGAATTATCTTCCCTATGAAGCGCCCATTGGTCTAAAATTCTTTGTTAGCCTAAACGGAAGACAGTATGAGCATATAAAACAAAAATGTCTGGCTTTTAATAAAAGAGATTATTGTTCCTTTGTTTCTACTTGCGATATCAGTGACAGCTTTAAAATTTAAAGTTTTGCCTCATCGACCAATTTATCTGATCTCTTGTCAATGGATTGTCATTACTTCAATCATCTTAATAACTTTTTCTACAAAAAACATTCCTAAACCAGCGGTATGACGAAGCTTATTTCTAGAGATCATCCAATCGCAACATTTAGGCTTCTTTCTTACAGTACCAATCAAACTTAATCCTCTTTCGCTAAAATGAGTTAATCGTCAGAGCTTCTATTTTGATTAATAAGGATTTGTTTTGTTTTTTTAATTCCATATCCATGTTTCGAAACTCACTTATCTTATACCAGCCCATTTATGTAATTTGACAATTAAATTATTTTTTAGCATCATAGGTGACAAAAAGTCATGCAAATTCAACACATTGAATAGTTTTTTTTTTTTTTTACCCGCACTAATTTATTTCATTTCGTTTGCAATGGCTGAAATGGTTGTTTTGAGTAAAAGAAAGTGGTATTTGAAGATTTACATCTTTTAAAAATTTAGTTTTTGTCATATACAGTTAATTGTAAATAGTTTTAGAAACCGTAACACGCACATATCATAAAACAATCGCTGTTCTGGATTCATGACTGACGCTTCTGCTAAGAAATGCGTTCCGAATTACTGCAAATTGTTACGGAAGACCGATTTGGAACCATGTTTCTGGGTTAATGAATATGTTCATACTGGTTATCGACCACCACATTTATCCGCAATGCAATATGTGAAATGGTTAGCAGTAATTTGATTATTCTCTCTAGGATACACTTCCGTTGATTTCGATGGATTTAAATATCGTCGTGAACTGTTGAAATTTTTGATTTATTGTCATGAAATCGTTTATTATCATTTATTACCTTATATCTTATAATTATTCGATCAAATAGTTTTATGAATCAAATTTTGGATGATAATGGATAAGGTTTGTAGGAGTAAAAAGTGAAACTGTTCTCTACAATAGGTTAAACAAACCTTTATTGTTTGAAATACATTATTGTTCAATTTTAAATTATTATCACCATTGCAATCTTCACTGCAACACTATCAATTAACTCTTTCAATCAATAATTTGTAATCATTGCTATTTAACTTTCAATTAATAACTTTGTTGAATCGTAATAATTCATCATGAGGAAAAGAGCAATGTTACAAATTTACAAATTTCAGAATATTTTGTTAGTTTCAAGTTTTCAGGATATTTCAGTGGAATAATGAAACAGTTAACATATGGACTCATCTGATTGGTTTCTTCTATTTCACTTGGCGTCAGTATGTAATTAATATTTATTTATTACCTTCAGCAAATGCTAATGCAAACGATTATGTCATTGCTACAATATTCTTGCTTGGTTTACAGGTACCTTCTCCTTTTACTTCCACCTCATTGCTTCATTGGCAAAAATGATCAATCTAAACGGATAAGGAAGTATTATGGGAAGAATTAGAAAAATGAGGACGTGACAATGACTGAAAATACCTGTTTAGGAAGACAAATTGTTGGATGATGCCAGTGAAAGTTAATGAATGACTCCATCATTTCAATTTGTACCGTAAAACTACCATTAATTAACGGCGTTGTGATTATTAGTCCAATTAAAATGCATCGTCGGTTGATTAAGGAGAAACATCCCTACTTCAAATTACCAATGTTTTTGTTTATTAAAATGTGTGAAGGTATATTTTAGCAAAGAATGATATTAAATAATAATGGAATTGAAAAAGAGAATTTAAGAGAAAGAAATCGTAAGCTAGTAAAAAGATGTTTTAAATTAAATATTTGTATTTCATACATTACTTTAAAGTTGTACAAAATTGGGCTACAAATTTTAAACCACAAATGTACCAACAGACTCAACATTATTGGCAATTTTAAAAAGCAAAAAGAAAAATGAATGAATAAGTAAGGTAATCTATCATTGCTGCATGCAAGACAATACATGATAACCTAATGGTTTTATAACTTTTCAGCGTCCGTGATACTCAAGAATTTCTTGATATTCAGAAATCTTCTGGATACATCCAAATGCTTGCTCATTTTATTTTAATTTCTAAAATAAATATTCCTACATATAAAAATTTAATGAATCCTTCAGATATGTATGCTTTTATCATCATTTTATCATATCTTTGGTTCAACAAGTGCTGAACGAAAACGTATGTTGTTACGATTTGATATTTTTGGGATATCAGCCGGATTACTTAGCATTTATTTGATGGGTATTTATACTGCATTCCTATGTTTTGAGGTTTGTTTTGTCGGAAATTTTCCTACGATATTCCAATCAAAAATGGGATTTTTTCTTCGAACTAAAATAATTCGAAATAATTTTTTTTTCTCTTTAAAGAATTTGCAGTGAAGCGTGCATATTGCAATAAAAATTAACATCTTTATTAAAAGAAGAAATTTAATAAATAACGCACTTTTTTTTTATGAGAAAATATAATAAAATTTCTTCGTCTTTTTATTTACCATTAATATTCGTTTTTTTTTTTTTTTTTTTTTTTTAATTGCACAACTTTTGAGATGTGTAAATAATGTTAGTAAGTCATATATAATAATTTCAAATTGAAAAACTTTTGAAAGAACAAATCTATAAAATGACTTTGTTTCTTTTTTAATTTTTTATAAAAGATATCTTACAATAAAGTACAAACATTTGTTTAAAAATCGTTTTAATATGGTCGTTTATATATATACGTTTGAACAAATGCGCAAAAATAGTTTCATGCTTATAAGTTACATCCACATTTGTGTAGCTTCATACATGCATAAGTATTTCGTCCACATCTTATCATCATGACACAGTTGGTTGATTTCAGATTATAAATATTATTTTTTGACAGTGATTAAATGATAAACCGGTTTGATTAGTAGTACATGGCATTAAGCTGGTTTTAAACATTTGATGTAAACGATTTGGAAAGCGTGTTATCAAACATATCGACGAATAATATCTAAAAACATTCATAAGGATGATATAAAATTACAGAGCAAAATAATGTTAAATGTGAAATGTAACATTTCATTTATACGATTAAGCAGCTAGTAACAAAAAAAAATACAAAAAAATAAATGGATAAACATTTGATGTTTGTGATCGGTTTTATTAAAATGATGGTGACATTTGGAACAGTCAGAATCTCTTGATCACTCATCGTTTGACATCATTTGATGATGAAGTGATATAATTATTACATATGACAATGTACTGCATAATAAGTGTTCAAATTATTTTCATTAATAGAATTTGAATAACTTAATTGTATTCAATGATTCTAATGCTCCTTTTTTTCCTCTCAATTATTTAAAGGAATGGCAAAAGTATTATTTTGCTTTTTTATTTGGAATATCACTGATAACAGTATATTTACCATTGAACAATAATATTAATGAAACGGTTCGATTTGGTCCCCAATTCAGTTGCACTCATTTAACTTATTTAATTATTGCCACATTAAGTTTTGGACCAGCATTTCACTGGATTGCCCTACATGGTGGCATTGGCAGTGAGCATGTTATGGTAAGTTCTGTTTCGTTCCATAGTAATTCGACGGAACAAATTCTTGATAAAATGATAAAGGATGAGGTGATAAGTTCCTTTCTTCTCATTTTATCATATTAGCTTTTTATTAATTGTATGAAATTGCGCGAAAAACAAAACTAATTTTGACTAATTGTTGAAAACTTTTAAAAGCAATAATTGATAGTGTTATTGACTTATCCTTCTAACAAACACCATTCCATCAGTGAATAGAGCGATTAAGGAAATGTGCTTATCAAACAATTGACTTTTTAGAAATGGTTACCAAAACTTCTTGTTTTATATGCAACATCTGGATGTGCATTTTTATTCTATATTTCGATGATTCCAGAAAGGCTGAAACCGGGTGATTTCATTTCTCAATCTTCCTTTTTTTTTCGATCATTTTTATTGTGAAATATTACTAATAATAATTTGACTGGCAGATAAGTTAGCGTATTTAATCGCTGAATTTGTTAACATGTTTCGGAAAACCTTGGTATCCGCATATCCGGTATGTAGTCAAGCTATCACCGGGACAGATGTTAGATAAATAACCGTATAGGTGTGATGAATTAATTGTATTTCAAATAAATGCTGTAATTATGTTTTCCATTTTCCGATTCATTATCACTGATCCAAATTTTGCAGGTATCTTTGATTTAGTGGGATGTAGTCACCAGTGGTGGCATATACTGGTCCTTGCGGCAATGTGGTATTGGCAAAATGAAACTCTTGATTATTTGGCATCTCATCGCTTACAAACAAATCATTGCTTAATTTATAATCGATTATCAAATATTACTCTTGCATATCAACTTATGCATAACATGATCGATTGAGTGATTTATTGAAAGAAGCTTCTGTTTAGGTTAATTTATGTAACATTATCATGAACTGTGAAGGGTGACTGGTCAAATTAACCACTGGCTGTGATATTAAAATTATATAGTTATAGTGACATAATTAACTTATAACACAATTAAAACGACTAACAGTGATAATTTATATCTCCCAATCAAATTTAATTTCAAATCTTAGATTCAAAATTCAAAAATCGCGTCAACTTTTGCAGCACTCTCCCTCTATGTGTGTTTTCTGAATGTTTCCTTTTATTCGAGTTTGATTCTTTCCATTAAATTCTTCGACAAATAAATTTTTCGCGTTACCATACTTCATTTTTCTCTCCTTGTGATGTCTAACAGAAATTATTTCAATTTGATAAAAATTTTTAATGCCACTATTTGTCATTTTTTTCTCACCTACTTTGCATCAATCATTCATACATGTGTGTGCACATATTCTGTGATGTGTCTCACAAATTAGTAAAATTTTTAAAAAAAAGTTAATTCTGGTAATGGATGGACAAATTCGTTTGAATTAAATTTCAATCACAATCCCTAATAATGCACTCTTCGGAAATTTACCAATTCTTTTTTTGGTGTGGTAAAAATCGATGTGCTGCATTTTTTAGTGTGGTACTTTTATGCGCTGAGTTGAGAAGCACCATCGATTCTTGTAAATAAACAGATAAGGCTATAAACTCGAGTCTCCTTTAATTCATCTTCCCATTTTTTTCCTAAAATGTCAGTTATTTGTTGCCAAATGAAATGAACTTTGAAATAGCTTTTTCCTGACGTGAAATTGAATTTTCGAAGCAGTGCGCAATTGTTGGTAGCTGTGGAAGGAAAATATAAGAATTATTCGAAAGATGAGGTTTTCAGAATGATAAAGTTTTGATAACATTGGGATTGAGCGTATTAATGCTTATTAAACTTTTATGAAATGTCAATAAAACATTAGCTAATAAAACATTAGTGCTAGTTGGTGTGGAAAAGAAATAAGAAAATGTAGAATTATTTGAAAGATGAAGTTTTTCAGGACAACAAAGTTGTAATGACATTGAGATTGAGCGCGTTACATGCTAGTTAAACTTTTATGAAATATGAATAAAACATTAGTTAAAAAAAACTGCAGTAAAGTCGAGATGTTGCTGTCATTACCTTAATGACAATTTTGTTTTCGCGAAACTTATTAGAGAACAGTTCCAAAGGTTGAATTATTAGAATAAAATGTTTGACGTTACAATCGGTTGAGATGTGATAGTAATGATCGTGCTTCCGGAATTTTATCCAATGTTTCAAGTAATCTTTTTGCTTTCAGCGCTGTTTCATCGCTTCCAATAGTTATACTGTTTAAACGTTTGATCAATTCTTGCCTACCCTGAAATATAGGCATTTAAATTACTTGATGAATTTTGAACGTAGTATCATTTGTTCAGACTTGGTAAAAACAACCTTCTGGATTAGAAACTTCCTTTGTAGAGGGAATTTCTAATCCAGAAGTTCGCAAATGCAATGCAGCATATTAGTGTCAACCACGTAGTTTGAGCGCTCCTATCTTGCACTTCGAGAACAATTTCTCGAGAAATCCACCAGGAATTCATATGGGAAATATGATTACCTGGATATCCATCAATTTACATCCATTATTCCTAAATATCATAGTTAGTTACAAGTGTCCAACACTTAGTTGGCTTAAATTTTCACCTTCGGTGCGTAAATGGAGAAGTAAATAGTGTAGTTTGGATTAGCGAAAGGATCCTGGTTCAATGGAGCGATAACTTCGTAAGTTAAAGATAATGCATGCACTGCTGATGACATACACAACAACCAAGTAATAGCGCGCAATAAGATTTCCGGTTTATCCGTATCCAGAATTGACAATAAGCCTGTCACTGTCTAAAATACTGTGAGTAAGTTGAGATGTTGTTGGGTTGTATTGATTAGGTAGATCAAATGGTGCAAATCACTCGATATCTTGGTAGGATTAAACAAGAAAAGAAAAATATGGTTACTGTCGACAATCTCTTTCGTGACAACATCGGACTATATTACTGCTGAAAGATGTGTTCAACTGAATGAACAACGAATTTTCTTAAAACATTGTCTAGAAGGTATATAAGAACTACCTTAGCAGCTAAAATATGCGGGACCATATCAGGACAACATGATAAATTTACCAGTAATCGAAGTGAATTGATGTTTGCTTCACCTTTTTCCCAAAGCCTGTAAAAATGAATGCGCACATAATTTTTGGGTAAAAACCGAGCTAATTTAAGTAATTAAAAGTTTTGTGCTAAGAAATCAAAAGTAAACTTGGTTTAGCTATATCTTGACGGTTCGATATTAAGAGATTTTATATCAATTGAAGAGTTTTTTATTTAAAAAATTCATGAATTTTATGTGGAATTGGCAAGGCAGTAAAGTAGGAAAGGTAAGTCGCACCTTTTGAGGCAAACAGGTATGACTGGTAAGATGGTCTCAACTTGTGGTCGTGTAATTGTATAGGATAGATTTGTGAGCGCTTGGAATGCAACCGTTCTTTCCATATCCAATGATGAATTCAAACGTTTCACAATAAATGGAATTGTCTGCTGTAGCAGTTCGGTATTTTCCCTGCATGCAGCCATGTTTGCGATGCATTGTAATAGCATGACCTGATTTCAGCAGGATGAATAAATAAATGAGTTCGATGCATGAACTTGAAAAAGTTTACTTAAGAAGTTGGGAAGAGTTGAAAACAAAAAAGTCAAACACTAAACCTTGGAGGAATTCGGTAAAGCTGCATGATAATTTTTCATCATTGCCGCCACTTTTTCGGTTATACCAAACTGAGCAAATAAATACTGCAAAATTGCAAATTTTGAATAAAACATTATCGCCAATGCATCTGAATAAAACGTAGATTAGTCAATTAGTCAGTGATGAAAAATAGATCAATCAATGATGATCAATGAACGGTCGTCGTTTAGAATTTCATAAACATAATCATATCTGAGATATAATAAAATTACTGAAGTAATTTTACTTGTTTGGTAGAAGAATTCCGATGATTGTTCAGAGTTCAAACAACAAATCTTAAACACAATATTAATCATTTATTACATGATTAAGTTAATGATTAGACCTGGTTTGCAGTATAAGCAGTAGCATTTGAGATGACAGTCAATAGAGGCAAAAGAATATCCGATGAAATATCGATGCATTTCAATGCGGTACATAGATATTTTGCTTCTGATGGTGTGATAAGTTTCTGAAAAGAGTGATAATTCATTCTGATAAAAAAACGAAAAGCCAAAAGGAACAAATCATCTCCCCACTTGGAATTTATTTATTCATTCTTCCTTCTCAAATGGAATGATTGGAATGATGTAAACCTGTGTCCGGTAAAGTTTGTTAATCAATGATTTCAATTCATCGCTTGTTGAAAAGAAATTTGCTGATGGATTAACTGTGATACGCCATTGTGAAGAATTGCGCTCATCTTCATCCGGATCTGTCTGTGGCAAACTCTGCAAAAAATCATAGCTGATTTTTGGAATTGTTCAAGGTAAACACAAGGTACAAAATATGACAATAATTGAAAAAAAAAAGAAGCAGGAACAGTTGGTAGTTTTCGTTTGTTTTTTTAACTTAAAAAAAAGAAGTTTTGAAAATCAGAATATTTTCATTTCTAAATATCAGAATTTTTATTTACTGCTATATCACAGATAGATTAAAATGTCTATTTGCCTTCCGTTATTCTGGAAAATTTTCAAAATTTTCACTTCTTGTTTTCTTCAATTGATCATGAAATTTATCATTTCATTTGTTTAAAATCGGCCATATGGATCAGAGACATGAATTAACAGGCTGGACAATTAATTAACTAGACCTATTCATGTTGATATCTTACTATATACAAAGTAATATTTTTTACACCTTTAATTATCATCCTATTTTCTTTCCTTCATTTTTTCCACGATCTCTCTTCAAAAACACGAATGTGGTTGAAGCAAAAAATTGCTGTAATTTTCGCATTTTTATCATAGCGGAAGTTTCGTTCCATTTTTTTTTTCATTCTTTTTTTAAAATTCAATCTGACATAAATTTTTCCAAATTTTTTTCTTTTTTTTGAAAAAAAAAAGAAGGAAAAACTAGTCGTGAAGTCAAATATTTTATACATAGAAGAGATTCAATGAATATCTAAATAAAGATTCATTGGTCAATCTTTTTGATGCCTAATTGTTTGCTGTAGAAAATATGTTTCAATATGTTAAAAAAGCTCTTTTTGAAATGCTTTTTGAAAAATTAAAAAACCTTTTTCTCAACACTTTACATTTTATTTTCTATTTCCATTTGTCGTGCTTTCGAAGTTGTATTAAATTGATTACACACAAATTTAAAAGAAGCATTTTTCTCCTCCTCATGGTGCTACACGTACGCTTCAGAATATTCCGTATACGTCGAAGGACAATGATGATTTTCAAGGTTCTTGAAGTAGCGTAACATTTCTTGTTTTACAATGAACAAACAAATTTTGAAGTATTCTTACTTACGCATAGATAAAATATATTTCAAATACAATGAGATAGATCGACCTGAACTTGAAGTTTTTTTCTTGCTCGAAGCAATCGTAAAGCAACAAAGAAAAAAAATTAAGGATGAAACCTGAAAGCTTCCAAATCGGGGTGAAGCAATTTCAACAACGAAGGCGGATTGCTGCTGCCCCATTTACCAAACGACTCTATTGATCCCCATCAAAGAGTGGTGAGATGGTGGTGAATGAGATGCATTTATAGGCTTTCGACTTCGATCCTTGCTATACTCCCACTGGACTCAAGCCTAAGCCTAGGCTTTTGCTCTCCCTCTCCTACTCATGACAGTTATTCACTGATTTTGCTAGCTGCTACTGCAATAGCTAAAGCGGTAGATTGATTTGTCCTAAATCATCATCCATAAATCTTTCCTATTCTCCTGTTTCTCATTCTTCCACTGCTTCCAGAAAGTAAAATAAAGAGAAAGGCGTATCCTTGGTTCCCATTGAAATAATTCTTTACTCGAAATTTAAATTTAATTGTGAGAAAGAAATATGTGGGTTGATCAAATGAGGCAAACAAGAGGAGAAGAACAAAGAAGCATTTTCAGTTTCACTAAGCATTTTCAAGAAGAGCAACAAGTCATTTTTTCATCGAGATAATCTAGCCAAGTATGATTATGAAAAGATCACCTTATTGTTCCTTTGGCTAACAAGCAGGATGATACTAACAGAGCAAGAATGATGACAATATGATTAAGCAAAACATTTGAAGTCATTGCTTTTTTCTTTGTCGAAAACCACGAACTCATTCTGTCTAATGCATAAAAGTTTCAGACCAATGCATCGAATTATGAACTGCAAAACTGTGTGATGAGGAAGGAAAGAATTTTGCATAATTATAGTTGCAATGAACAATTAAGTGAGTGATATCATAGTTAACTTTATTTAGGAAACAATTTAGCAGTATTTGGTAAAGCACTTTTGAGATCTTTGAGGCACTGTTGAGGCTGTAGACTCTGTAAATTAAGTGTCGTAGAGAAGCCTAAACGTCCTTCATCGATTAAAATTTCCGTATTCTGTGGGTCGATACCACATGATGTCGCTAAACGAATGCCCTCACTGTATGTAAGTTCCTCGATTTGCTTCCGCATCTCTGGCCACATCATTTCGGTTATCATTCCTGAAATTCTCATATCATCACTTCTTTAACAGTATCATACATGCCACTTAGGTCTATCGGTAGTATTACCTGCACGGTCGAAAGATTGTAAGCAGTCAAAAAAAAGTGGATACACAAAAAGGACTGAAACCAGGGAAAATCATAATTTCTTAGCATTGATTGCCACGTTTTGATAAAAATAGGCTAATTTTCTCCTAATCCAAGTGTAATTTTGTTAGCTAAGAAGAATATTCATTTAAGTGTTGTCGATTACTCTAATAATAATTAGATTAACAGTAATGAAATCCAAAATAAGTGTTTACCTTTTATTAGGTCCTGAACAAAAAATGACCAAGAAGGAGGAAAGGCACCATTTTCCATTACCACATTTGTGTCAAGCAATTGTACTAATGTCCGCAAGGTGCCCGAATCAATAACGGGCCGTAGTTCGGCTGTGACAGATAGAAACATGGAAACAAACACAGATGTGACGTTTTTATCTGGATTCACGACACGCAAATTGAGCCTATCACGTCTTGAAATAGAAAAAAAAAACGTTCAATTTTAAATAAATGTAAATTAAGGCCTCAATTAACAAACAATAATGGGGAATTTTACTATACAATTGGGTTTGAGTTTAAAATCAAGCTTCTAAATTTTTGATTTGAATTATCTCGAAAGCATTGATTAGAAGAACTTACTTCTCCAAGACAACAGTACCGTTTGTAGCTGTCAAAATAGGTGATCCATTAGCCCAAACATTCAGCAAGAAGTAGCAAGAGGTGCAAAGAGTTGAAAGAAATTCTCGAGAAGAAAGAGGTATCACAGGACTTGTTACCGCAATCGTTTCCTCCATCCACTGGAAATTCCAGTCAATCTGCAAATAAATTGGTTTCAAATTCCCTTTTCAAAACAAATTTCCTTTGAAGCCTAGTAAAATGAAATGGCTAAAATCAACTTTTAAACGTAAATGACAGCAATTCGTCGTTGTTCCTGTCGTCATTATCGTTACGATAATTTGCTTCGAAATTCTGCATGTATCCGAACATCGTAAATCTAGCTTCAGAAAAGGCTTAATTATTATAAATAAGAAACTCCAGCACTGCATAATTTCTCGAAATTTTTTCAATATGAGGACCAATTTTGGGCTACTTAAACGGTATAATTTGGAAAAAACCTGATTTAGGAAGTCATTGAGGGCAGTATCATCGATCCAGATTATTATCCGATCCTCGTTGTTCCATTTCACACTTACATTTGCGTATGAAACTCCATCGTTTTCAAACGGACGCTTCCATTTGATTTGTGTTCCTATCAAAATATGCTTCTCTTCTACTGTTATTGATGTTAAACGATAGAATAAGGAGGAATCTGCGGTATTGATAATGTCGGCATTGATAATGTCGCGAATATGAGCTGGCAGGATCTCATTTAATGACACGTTCCTAAATCTTTGAAATTTAAGGATACACTGCTTTTTACGAATGTTATGCTGATATTAAATTAATTGTAAAAAGGAAAATCATTCCTGTACTCACATAATAACAGGATTTTCGATATTTGAGATGTAGTTCGAGAGAGATGGACAAATGAGCTGCTGAAGATGTGATCGAATCGGATTTGTTGCCATATGTAACAACGTGCCTACCATCCAGTAATTGCTAGATGTAGCATTAACAGTTGTATCACGCAGAGAACATGATAACATTCGAGCATTTTTCTCCTCGATTCGTACGGCTAACTCAACATCACCCACCTGAACTGATTACTAAACTTCCGAAAGTAGCACAATATACGACTTGTATTGTTATAATTAAATGACGGGAAGAGAATGGAAAAATATAGGTTTTGAAATGAAAGTGATCAAAATGATAGCAGTACTGATAATGAATGAAAATAGTAAACAATGAAATTTGAAATTAGTAAGTTATGAAATGGTACAGTAAGCAACGGTAAAGCAACTTACATAAACGGCAAGATCGATAGTTTCATCTCCAAGGCTGACTGGCCAAATATTTGGAGTAATGTTCGACTTGGAGTTTATCCGAACACTGCTTGCTTTTAAGCGTATCGTATCGGGATAAAATTTTACGGTAACATTTGAATATGAAATTCGATTGTAAGTTTTAATATAGGCAAGAGGTAACAGAAGGGGTTTTCGATGCGTCCGAAATGATAAATAAAGTGAACGTGGGGAGCTAAGTAGTTGATGAGCTCCTTCACGAATAAGCTGTGAAGCGGCACCGGATCCGATATCAAGCGATACATCAGATGCTGTTATGAATGAACATTGCAGGTACAATAGTTGCACAGAAAAAGCTAAATAAACAGGTAAGAGGTAGTGCATGACGTGCACCACCTCTAAACACCACCACCACCTCCACGGCATTAGTCATTTGAAGAACGAGTTCTTGAAGGACATCCTCGATTTCCCCCGTTGTTATTGATGACTGAATAGATGGAAAGAGGGGGGAGGGGAAGAGAGGGACACCCACCAAAACACTTCCTTCCATTTAATACACATATCCACATTTATTTTGTATCGTCCCCTTCTTACAACAAACATTATTTCATGGGCTTCACGTTTGCCACTTTCCTACTCCTTCTCATTTACAATATTCTTTCTTCCGCAGATATACATTTACATCCTCTTTTACAGGTAGTTATTTTCCACTTTGGCATTATCCATCCCGTTGAATCGATCCGTATTTCCGGATATTTCATTCAATTATTCTTATCGTATAACGATAATATTATAAACTGTTCACTCAAAAATTTTCGATTATCTCAAAATAGGAAATTTCATCTTAAGATCTACTTGTCATCGTCCAGTGCTATACGAATACGCATCTTACCACGAGCTGTAGCTTATCTGAATAATATCGGAGCTCAAATATTAAATGAGCAATTACCACGTTTATCCATACCAAATATCAAACAACGCATCAACAATGGACAAGGATACGTTTCAGTATCACGGATTCGTGTATCTCGATATAAACAAGCAACCGAACATATCATTTCTACATCAGCACCAAATAAAATCACTTGGATTATGAGAAATCTTAATATGGGGTAAGTTTAAAATCATACAAATTATCAGTGATAATAACAATTCATCATTATTTAACATTTTAAGAGTTTGTTAATGGTATTAAATGCGAATGAAATGTGATTACTGTATAGAGTTGATAACTTTCAGGTTAATAGGAAGTTTGTCAGGAGAGGTCAATATACTGTTACCGATGAAACTTGAGGGCGAAGCTGAAATATTAGCATATGGTGTTAATTTTCAATTAGAAAGTGCCCTAGAACAATCAGAAACAGGAGCAGCTCGAGTGTCAACAATTTTTTGTCGTACGACTATTCAATTAATGAATATTGAAATTTATAATGGTGGTATGACTGGAATAGCACTGAATTTATTCAAGGCATTCTTAACTTTAATTTTAATTTTTTTTTCTTTTTTTGATCAGTAGTTTTGCAATAACATCGCAGTGCTTAAATTTTTTTACAAATTTAGTTAACTTGATCAAATTTAGCAATGACTTTTTTTTTGTCCTCAAGAAAAGAAGAAGGAAAGTAACCAATATAGAGCAATAGAATTGTTGACATACCGCGGAGAAATTTGACACATCGAAAAATTCTGGTCTTATTTGATTGTCATTTTAAAAAGAAACTTCCTAAAATTTAAAAAATAAAAAACGACGAGCTCATGTATTCATTTTTATTAAAGACATAATTTTCTTTTCTATATTTTGGATTATCCGGAAATGATATTTTCCTAAATTTATGGTTCTAAAAAATATGCATTCGTGTTAGAAATAGGAGGAGATAGAACGAAAAAAAAATGAAGTGGTTAACATTTTTGTCATCCTTTCAATTTTGAAGCATTTCCCTATTATCTGTGCTATCCCATGTTCAAGATTGTTAATTTAATTATACCGTAAAAGTTATCGCATACAACAACAATTGGATTTATTCAAGGCATTCCTAGGAATTTACAAACTATATAGTTAATTTTTTGCTACAGAATAGATACGGCAACTGTTTCAGGATCAAGTAAGGTTTCAAGAAAGCAATAAATATTTTAAATCATAAGATTTGTAAGATTTTAAGCTTGTTATAAGTTGTAGTCTAAAATTTTTCTCCACTACTATTATTGCTACTATCATAACACTTCGGTTCATTATTCAACTTTTCTTTTTTGATTTAAATCTATAACAATTCAAACAAATTTCAGTAGGATTTGATAGGCTTTAATTTGACCAAATGCAAGTTATAATCAAATAAATTACGATAAGGAAGCATCGGATTGGAAAAATTGACTAAATAGTCATGTATATATATATATATATATATATTGATATATATTGATATTTGTTTAATTTATTCGTTGATATTTAGCTGAAGTATGAAATTTAAAATATTTGCTAATTTTGTAATATATTTGGGATGTAATTAAAGCAATTTTCAGCAAGGAATATCAGAGCAAATTCGTTCAATGATTGAAACATTAATTTGCAAAAAAATAACCGAATTTATCAATGAAGATTTCAATGAGAAATTATTGCAAACTCAAACAAAAACATCCCTAGCAGATGCAGAACAAATCAATACGTTTGCTTCAATTGTTGGATTACCTAACAGTAATGAATTGATGGAAACCTTTCGATCGTTTAATATTACTATTAGCCCTTCTCTTTTCAAAGTAAGTTTTTCATCAGAAATCATTAGAATTCTTTTCCTTTTTTTAAGCAAGTGAAGTAAGTAGCTTGATCATTCAACAAAGTATTTCTAGCGACAATAATGCCATCATATGCTAAACTACTTGGAATTTATCCTAAAAGATAGTAACAATAACAAATCGTTAATTCTTTATCCTTTGGTTAGTCCTCGATAAGGGGACGAATAAAATGGTAACTTCTAAAGCTTACGACGCAATTATCTTGTAACTCTTCTCTTCATATTCATTAACAATGAATTGAAATTGTTGAAAAACAGGTAAATTACACATAATTATGTTATATAACATTGCAGCAACTAGTTTCCAGAATTTATATTGACTTCAGGTTAGTTGAAGCTTCTTTGACTATAAGATGTGTGTGTGTGTGTGTGTGTGTGTGTGTGTGTGTATGTGCTGACTGTCTGTCTGTCTGTTTGTATCTGTCATGTATGCATGTGTATATGTGTGTACATGCATGTGTAAATATTACTGTTGCTTCGCTTTTCACTCTTAATTTAGCATTATTTTACGTTTGTTGTGAACAGATTATAACTTCATCGCAAATTCACACTGAATATCCTCACTTAATTTCACCAAGTATGATTTTGAGGCAAAAAAAGGAAATGGAAATCACGAAATCACCCGAGAATTTCGAATCTATGTCATGATCGGGTTGCGATAATTACACCTTTCGTAACGGATTCCATTTCATAAGTTCAGATGAGGTGCTTTCAGGGACTAGCTTCCTCGTACTTGTACTAACTTCAGGTTAGTTAAAGCTTCCTTCAGCTATTCATATGATTCATGTTTGTGTGTGTATGCGCGAATATGCGTGTGTGCGTGTGCGTGTGGATGCATGCCTGTGCAAACACTGATGACTACTGCTTTGCTTCTTCATTTTTAATTTAGCACAGTCTTGAGGAATAAATGCAAACATTTTCAACATAATATTTGTTGGAAGAATTAAAATTTAAAAGCTCAGCTTCCTTCTTGATTTTTATGCTTTTATGACTTGTCGTCACTTTATAGAAATGCAAATGGCTAACCTGTTTCAGGCTAAATGAAGATCCATTATGCTACAAGAATACTGTGGAAATATCTAACATTGGTGAAATTTCACTCATAGGCGACAGCATTAAAAAAACTCCATTCAGTGCTGCACCAATGTTCTGGCCAAAAGAACCTTCTTTGCAAGATGCAATGATACATTTACTTATATCCGATTATATTGCCAACGCTCTACTTTATCATGCTTTCTCGTAAGCTCATGTTACTTGTTGCATAATATTTCATACCTTTTTTCTTTTTTTTTAAATAGGATGAAATGCAGTTACTTTGCAAGTAGCAACTAGCAAGATATAATAGGATACAAAATTAAAGTGTGATATCCATTGGGTTTTTAAAAAGTCAAAATTCAAAATTTAAAGAAAAAAGTCGACTCTAGTTAAAAAAGAGAAACATTTTACCCATTTTTGATGCTATATTAATGGTTCTGTATGTTTGCTCAAATGTGAGATAGCGTAAAACATCATACATATACATGAAATTAATGCGCAATAGGAAAAAAACAGTTATGTTTAAAGGGAGAAAGTTTCACGCTAAAGTGAGTGGGAACACTTTTAAAAGAGATTTGCTTAAAATCAAGTCCACAAATAAAACCTGATTGCAATTTGATACGATACTGATCGCAGCATTATGAATTGTGCTTTTTCAACAAAGAATTTGCAGGGAACATTTGTTGCAGTTTGTCGTGGACGATAAGACAATTTCGTCTTTAGGTCCGCTGCTACGTACCTCCTGTACAACCGGACTTTGCTTTGCTGATCTGATACCTCAAATAGCTGAACAATATCCAGATAGCAAAGTGCGACTGATTTTCACGCCCACCCGAGCTCCTATAGTGCTGTTTCAAGCGAAACAGGGCGGTTCGCGAACTCCTTTACCTATGCTCTTCATTTGTGTTCAAAAAAAACTTTTGAAAAAACTTTTTGCCTTTCCACACCTTACATTTCCACACAATCGTATTTTTTAAAAGGGAAAAATTTTCGAATATTTGAAGTGACCTTTTAAATTCAGATAAAATCCATATTTATAGGTGCACTAGTCATTAATATGAATGGTTTGGTATTCATGTACATTGTAGAATCCAGTGAAAAAACTCATCAAGCAGCAGCGTTTGCTTTGGACATTGTTGCGAACATACATTTACATGTTGAGGTACGGTTTCTTGCGATAGATACGACAATGGGTAATCTTGTTTACATCCCTCTCACTTGGCTTATTTGCAGAACAACACATTGCTTGGTAAGACAACGGTGGACAGCTTCCAATTAAGGAACACATATGGACACATTAATATAAGTGATGATGAATTATCTGACGTTGCACTGCTAAGTTCTGAAATGTTTCAGCGTTTCATCAATGATTTTCTGCGTGGCGGATTTCCAATACCAATACCTAAAGGTTTTCTCTTGCCATCGAATTTGTTGATCGTAGCTATTCGGATGAAATATACTGATTAGTTCTTCACATTTCATCCCTCATTTCACCAACACTCGTTCTCGGATCTTCCACCTTCCCCAAACGAGCTCATTCACTTTTACTGCTCTTCCTGGAATATTGCTTGAAATAAGTAGTTTGAACTGTATACCTTCAGGACATGCTGTTAACTACCAGAATTGAATGCATGCATTCAGGGAATTACTGTTTTGAATGTATCCATTCATGGAATTACTGTTTTTTCTTCACTCCATCAAGAACAGTTCCTTAACAAAACATTTTAGTTTTACGGATAAACATCACTCAACTACAAATCCTTGACCGGAGTGTTTTCATATCCGCAGATTTTGATTTGGATCGGAGGCGTGTAAGCAATCTTGCATTACAAGCATTTGCACATACCAAATATTTCCAACGTGACATACGTATGTACGGCAGTTGAGTAAATAATATACGAGTGATTGCAAAGGTGTAACCCACTTGATGTAAATACTTTCACTGTTTTAAATTTTATACACTAAGTGTGTGGATAAATTCATAGGTTGTACTGCTTGGTTATACAAACTACAAAACATTATGTTGGTGACAACACTTTAGTCGACTAATGTTGTGATATCATTGTACAAATCTTTTGTCATTACCAAAATTTTGGCCTCTCAAGCTTCCTTTCCTATCCATTCATCGTCAAGTGATTAACAGGTGACACAGCATGGCAATCTCGAATCATCCATCATAAATGAATCAGGAACGATGCACAGACGGTTTCCAGATGTCAGTAGAGACAAGGAACCCACTAAAGTTGCAATGAAAATATCGCATTTCCCCCGTACCACTACGAGGCATATGGCAACTACACCCAACCAACTTTCTAGTTGGTCATCGGCCAACCGTCTAATACCGGCAGGCCAAATGGATGAAGTGTAATTCACGTAGTGTAGAAGCTGGTCTGCACGTATTAGCGTGGGTAGTCTTAATACATTTATTTTCAAGAGAAGTAGGGGATGGCTTTCTTTCAAGTCGTAAAGTTAGGGGAAGGAAAAACTTCAGATTGCGCGGTTATCCAAGTTTAAGTCGTAAGTTTCGTTACTGAATGGGTATTTCGTTGAATTCCTTGGATCTCGGTTCTGTAGAATTAATCACCACTTCTCGAAGTCATATTGCCTCCCATCGGATGTGTTCGGTATCTGTAAAATCTAAATTCATCTAGTACTATTCCACCGTTCGGTGGACAGCAGTACCAGCAGCTTAAAAGAAACCGTGCACGTCGTTTCTGTTTGGAACATAAGCAAAGTTGGTATTGAAAAGATATGGAACTTCGATTTGATGGACGTCATGGATGACGTCTGCCAAGAATTCTGAAGGGTCCTATATTTCCTAAGTCAAAGTTGTAATATATTTTTCCTGTTTTTATTTACATTCTTTGTGTTTCTTTACTTAATACTTAAATGTTCAATCAATCCACGTAGTTTATCCTTCTGACAGACTGGACGGGTCGATTAATTGAGCGGTTCAAAGCCCTTCCTTGGCAAATCCTATACACAAGTACCACCACTCTCACATTGAAGCTGTTACACTATTTGCAATTATACATTCCAGTAATTTATTTCAGTACAATTAAGTGTGGGTTAATTCCTAAGGAGGGAGCACGTCATTTCCGACTCAGCTGACCACCCACAATAATCCTTAACCTAAATGGAGAGTGATTATCATCCTATTTCGCTACCCTACACAGTTTAGGAATTTTCTTTCTTTTTCAATTTATCAAAAGGAAGGATAATTATATGAACGGGATTCATTTCCCAGTGAGGGACTGTTTTAACTGGATTCCGTGCTGACGTATGTCAGTGTTATATCTTGCGCCAGTGATCTCAACGACATAATTTTCAGGGTGGAGGAAAAAAAGAAATGATTAGACGAGAAGCTCGGTTACGTCTTGAGTATGTTTATCGGAAAAGTTTGGAGGAGAAACAACGGTTAATCGATGAGAAACGACAAACTGTGAAGAAATACGTAGATGAAAACAGAGCTATACCGACACACTTGAGAAAGGATGCCATTGATTTACAACAAGACGCTGAATGGGGAGGTGAGAATGTCTGTGGACGGCGAATCCATTTTTCGTTTTAATTTTGACCTCTTTTTTTCAAGATAGATTAAAATTTAATTGAAGTATTGTGTGATAAAAAAGTTTAAACTACATTTATGGCGATAGCGATTTAGCTAAACAACTGGAATGAAATGAAACGGACAGCAGATTTAGTATCTACGAAGACTAAAATTTCTGGCTTCATGAACAGCAGATATCTTTGATTCCAGTACCTTTCGTCCCAAGCCGGAATTTTCCGACAACTCTTCGGGTTAATCTTTCTATTTAAATCTGGCACTACATTGTCATATCATTTGCTACTGTTAGCATTTTCAGGGGAAGTTTCAGCTATCGATGATGAGTATCGCTACGCTGGAGCGGCAGACCCAAAAGTTGTATTAACAACTAGTCGTGAACCTTCAGCCAAACTTAAAATTTTTTTGAAAGTAAATACTTTTCGTCTGTTCATATTTCAATCCCAGAGTTTCACAGTTTCCAAACCCTAGAGCTTTTGCTGGAATACAGTGAGGAGAATGTCTAAGAAACTTTGCATGTGTTTATTTCTCGAACTGAAATTGAGAAATAATGTCTGTTGTAGGAAATGCGGCTGATGTTTCCAAATGCCCAACGCATCAATCGAGGTCATTATGATATCAAAAAGTTAATACAAGCTTGTAAAGCTAATGATGTTAGTTTCTGCGTTTACCGGACTTGAAATTCCTAGACATTCGATCCTCAGCATAATCTTTTGAAACTACGTCAAATATTAATTTTTGCAGATTTTAGAAGCAGATTAAGTAATAAATGAAGCTTAAAAGCTGATCAATAAATTCAACAATTAGTCTCTAATAAGACTGAAATAATCTGTCTGCTTCACTTTGTATAATAGCACTTTTGGCATTTTTTCTAATTATCCTTGTTTAACACAATATATTTAAGATTACGGATTTTATACTGCTGCATGAAACGCGTGGTAATCCTGACGGAATGATTGTATGCCATCTACCCTTTGGACCTACTGCTTATTTTACTTTAGCAAATGTTGTGATGCGGCACGAAGTGCCGGAATGTGGAACCATGTCGGAGGAATATCCCCATCTTATATTCGATGGTCTTAATTCAGCTCTGGGACGTAGGGTAAGTTAAGTTTTGTTCCTTGTCAGCTCATAAATTATCAAAGCCTGAAGAGTAAACTTCCGAGCAATATTTAAATATTGGCTGCATTTCACAGCATTTGACAGATTCGTTCAATCTATATATTATATATATACGATATTTATATGTTATGCAATGTTTTCTTTCTTTCCAGTTGACCACAATATTAAAACATTTGTTTCCTGTACCGAAGATTGATAGTCGACGAATCGTTACTTTTAGCAACACTCAGGATTTCATTAGTTTCCGGCATCATACGTACAGTAAAGATGAGCATGGTGAAATAAAACTGAAGGAAATTGGTCCGCGGTTCGAAATGAGGCGTAAGTTTTTACGTTATGAAATGAAATAATGCATAGGTCTACGTTTGTTATAGCACCGTTGTGGATAACTGGAAGTTGTCATGAGAAAAGACACGAAAGGAACTGTTATGCAATTCTCAACTCGTGGACTGATCGTGCAGTGTTTGCCATAGTTTAGTTAGAGTGCAGAGTGTATTCCATTTGCTGTAGGTTTTTCTGCATTTGCTTTTTTTATCTTTGAATTGTTTTAGCTTATTTAATCAAAATGGGTACAATTGACAACGCTGATGCCGAAAGTACTGAGTGGGCGTTACGGTCATATACCAATTCAGCCAGAAAGAGACCTCTTATGCTATCAGTACCAGACGATGACGAGTAATGGGAAATGTTGTTTACTGATTCACTGTGTTTATTAATATTTATATCATATATTTTATTGTCGTTAATTTGTTAACTGTTGCATATTTTATAAGCATAAAAATAATTTCGTATCATTTTTTCGAGAAAATACCATTTTGAAGAACTTTCACAAGAGTACGTCATTTCTCGCTCATCCAACACAACTTGTTTTATGGTGACAGAGTTTTAAGTTGAACACTATGGTACATGAACATCGTGGAAGAGATCAGCGATGCTGATTATCAGATTGTTTTGTTTAATCCATTTGTTGGTTCGCTTTTCAGGAAATCCTTCAGTGTTGATGATGAGAAGGAAATTAAATTGAGAACTGAGGCTTTATTATCAATTTATATAGATTTTACATGTCACCAATCTGCTGCTGAAAGCGGTTTCTTTTTTTTCTTTTTTTGGAAATGGATTTTGACGAAGATTCCATTGATTTGTATGCTAGTTGCTTCTGAATATCTATTTTTCTGCTTATACGATTCTCGGAACCTCATGTGATTTATTAGTTCAAGAAAAACTTTTTCGTTGCCAGATATGTATTTTTATTCCCAACTTTTCCGCAATATTTTCTCAATAAAAGCTTTTATTTCTTCTACCAAAACTGGTAAAATCTCGAAATCCTTCCTCCGCATGCATTTCTGTTCTCTTCCTTGAATTTTATGAAATCCTTCGAGCCTACCCACAATATTATCAACATTCTTGCTACCAGTTTGAATCAGTTCCAAACTTCATCATTCAGATACGCTGTTTGCCACATAAACTGAACTGAATATCGCATCATTTTTCATCCTCTTTCTTCAGCAATTATAAGCATGTTAATAAAATAGCAATTTTATCATCCGTTTATTCCATTCTATTGTAAAACATTTATGCGTAGTCACCAAACGATAAAATGTCACTTGTTGGAATCATCTCACACCAATTATGTCTTTGATTTCGGTATTGATTTAAATATAGACGATGGATTTGATCTCTCCTCCACCTGTTGCAGTTGATCATACTTAAATAAAAAGCTGTAAGGAATTGCTAACAAATGTAGCAGGAGCTGCAACAAAAGCAGATGCAGCAAAAGCAGCAGCAGTAGTAGCAGTAGCAATCATTGTAAAAGAATGATTATGAAAGATAAACAGGTTGATGCAATAGGCCTACATAATTAATGGCCAATACACTTTTGATACCATTGCTTTTTGAATAGATTCTGGGCGATAGCAGTGTGAAGTTTTTGCATCCGCGAAAGTGTACATAGAGAAAGGGGAGTGAGCGAGATTTGAGGAGGATTGAGCTCGAGCTTGAACTTGAACTTTGTCTTATGAACACTCATTGGTTAGCTTTAAAGCGAACTAGATTGAAGGATAGCTGTGCGGTATGGTCACATCTTTGTTTGGTGCAAGCACATTACCTATACTTCAATTCGAAGCACCACCTTCATCAACATTTTCTGATCATATTCCAATTACCTTCTCTATTACATTATCAATTAATCAACCTGTTATCGTTACCGTTAATCTTTTAACAGCCGACTTTCGACCACATCATCTTATTATTACACCACAACAACCTATTGTCCATATTGCCGAATCCACTACGCATAAGTAATTCTTCACCAAGTTATTTCTCTCTAATTCATTTTGAGGTTTTGCATCAATCAATAACAAGTTCAAAAGTCACAGGAAAGCTAACATGTTAAATAATGTTATCTTTCTTTTTGGAATGCAAAAAGCAAAAAGAAGTCGAGAATTCAACTTGATTTCTCATTATATTTAATTGTTCAATTGTTTAATATCATTTGGTGGAGTACTTCTCATCCCATGCTGAAACATATGATGTTACTTTTCATACAAGGTTATAAATAAGATTAAGATGAAGTGAATGAATGAAACATCAACAAATTTGACTGAAGTGGCGCTATTATAATAATTAGTGGTTGATATGTCCACTGTCAAATGTAAATTATCACTAGCTGCAATAGATTTTATCTACATGTCATGAAATGACATTATCATTTGTAGAATTATTTGACTAACAAATAGGAGCTTAAAGTGTCAAATATATCCTGAATTTTGAAAGATTTTAGGAATTTTTTTATTAGCTTTAAAATTTCAGTAGAGTATCACAGCACGATGAATGTATTATTTTAAAGGTTGGCTTTCAGATTTGAAGATCTTTATATAACAAAACCGGTTGAAACAGTTGAACAGGATCCAATTCAATCGGTAGAAACAAATCAACAGTTTAGTGCTGGTGCTACGAAAGTGGATGAAAGGTGGACGGAGGAAGAAGAAAGTATTCGAATAATGGTTGAAGCAGCAACACCTTGTGCTTCTTCAGTAATTGTTTCCGATATAATGCATCGTGATAACGGTATCATTTCTCCTCATCCATATTAACAAATCATCATTCAATAAGTTTCTTTTTACTGAAGAATGAATCATCGATTTTATAGCTCCTCTTAAAGTGATTGAAGTGAGTCATAGTATTGTACGAAACACTAAAGAAACGATATGGTTGTTATTAAGCAAGCCGATGGTTAATGTTAGCATATTCGTTGATATTGGGAATCGAATGTTACCCGTTGAACGATTGAAAACTTACGATAAGGTAAATTTAACTCGTTTCATCCAATGGCAAAACAATAATTAAAAAAATGTCATTTAAATGGTGCTGAAGGAGGAAAAGCTTTGACATTATGAAAGCTTAAATGAAATGGACAAATGATTTCAGCTGATCATATTTTCTTTGCCGACTCTTGTCATTCCGGAGAAGACAGATAAAGCATCATCTACAACAAATAGCTTTAAAATATTTTTAAGAAATGGTACACAACAGTTGGAATTTTCAGTACAATTACATGTCAGGTAATTGAATGGTTTAATGCACATCATTTGATGATATTTATTGTGATATGGGTTAATATTGTAGTTCAATAAACTGCCTATTTGCGCCTCTATATTAGCACCATAATATCGTAATAGTGGAGGAACTAGTATTGGGAAAATGGAACCAACAGAAGAAAAATATGATTTGATTTTCATATCATGTCGAGATCAGATCGATCTTCTTTCTTATCACTCTCCTACAGTTTACCACAGAAGGATGGATGGAAGTTACAAATCACATTGTTTTTCCAAATTATAGAAAGTGAATTGTAATAATCTGAATCTTTTTCTGCTTGCGAATCGAATAACCATCATCCAATCATTAGTTCAGGTTTTTCTTTATGGGAAATGAATGTTATATTAATTACTTTAGTGATACAAGTAATATACGGGATACAACAGAAATTGTCGATAAGGAAGCGCTAATAACATCGTTGTTCGAATTTGCTGCCGAAGGAGAACCATTGGCTTTGGTAAAACCGTTGGTACCGCTTCTCGGTACATTTGACAACGACGGCTGCAAGTCTCTATTTACTTTTCCGGCTTTGAAAAAATAAATAAATTTTCGAGAAGTTGATAAGTATAAGCACATGAGAATGATAAAGGTACTTCCTGTTACTTGACTTAAGCTGAGAACTGAAGTCAGGTAATCCAAGATAATTGGACATAGCATCCTCCTCTCTTCTTGCTGTTTAATACGTACCACATGTCATCCCCCTTCAACATTATACTGAACAATGTTGATGGCTTTAATAAAATTCTTTTTCGTGAAATGAAGCATGCGAAATAGAATTTTAAATGTTTTGTGCGGTAAAACGATGACGTAAACATAGTCGTTGAAAAAGATAATAAACGACTGTTGGTTTCAGTGTCTTACACGTGGCAGCACGTAATAAGCAAAATTTTGCGCTAAAGACAATGCTATCGGTGCTATGTGAGTATAGTAGTGAAGAGGAACGTCAAAAAATTCTTAATGCACCAAATGTTCGAGGACAAACAGCACTGCATTGTGCGGTACGAGCTGGTGATCCGGATTGTGTACATTACTTAGTTAGTGCTGGTGCCAAAAGAAATATTGTGGATAATAATTTGGATACAGTAAGTCCCTCTATAGTTCGGATTTGTTTTGACTGAAGATTTGAGACCAGTTGGAACAGTCTACCCTACAAGATCTTGCTTCAATCCCAAATTGTATTAACAACGCTGATACATCAAGGAGGTCCATATTCTTTCAGCGTTAGCTTCTTTGGTTAGAAGTACTTTATCTGTCATTGTATGGATTCTGTGATTTCTTTATCTATCATTAATCAAAGATGAATATAATAAACAAGCGCTTGCAGCATATTGCAACTTTTTGATTGCAATGCTCAATTTATTTTCAGGTAGCGCATTATTTGGGAGATGCTTATAATGATGCTATTTATAAAGAAATTTTGGAAACGAGTAGCAGTGAGGAAGTGGAAAGCGGAACTGATATCAATAGAGAGAATATTTTAGCCAAGAAAAACTGTTATGGATACACGCCAGCTCATATTGCTGTTAAGAAACTAAAATTAAGCTTACTGGAAGCATTGATAGAAGCTGGTGCTCCTGTAGATATTCCTGACAACAATGGCGAAACACCGCTCTTGACGGCCCTCTATATGGATGATGCTGACACGGTCTCTTTACTTGCCCAGGTTCATCTTATTTTTCATTGTGGAATCAATCAATGCATATTTAAGAGTTTCAGTCATTTTTTTTCCACAGGTTTTTTATACACCGATGATGAAACTTTCAGCACAATTGTGATGTTAACGTAATGTCAAATAATGGAGACACACCTCTAAAAGTTGCATGTAAGAAGAAGAATCTTGTTATGATCGGACGTCTTCTGGATGCCGGGTCAACTATGGATTCTCTAGGAACAGGTTCCCAGCGTTCAATATCTTCTTGTCATCCATTAAGCTGTCCCTTGAAGTTTGTGCAAGTTTGTGCAACTTCCATGCTCACTTTAAAGAGTCATAAAGGAAAAAAACTTGCCACGAGATAAAAAGATGCGATACAGGTGACGAACGACCAGCGGAAGCAGATGAGGAAGATGTGCAGCGGATTCTGAACGGTGAACGGATTGAAGTATCTAACGTATATGCACAAAACGGTCCTGGGGAAGAACAAGAGATCAGTGAATTACAAAGTGAAGAATCGATCAGCACAGCAGCAAGCACTGATGCTGCAACCAGTTATCGACTTCGGACATTTAAAGGTAACATATCGATAGGTTTAATTTTCCGAAACATAATTTTCCGAAACATTATAAATCACCGAAACACCAACACTAAATCCAGCCAGAAACTACTGCACGTACGATACATTTTCAAGCTTTTATAGTTGAACAGAGTTAGGCGTAATAAAAACAGATTATAAGAACACAATCAAATTAAAAACAGATCTTTACGATTGTACAACTGAACTAAGCTATTCGCAATAAATAATCTATATTGTCATAGTGACAAACATTTGAGACACATATCTTTACTCCTGTACAAAAAAAGTAGGGTTATTCACAAAATATATATATATATATATATATTCTTTGCTACCACAGTGATACTCGTATGGAAGAATTAATGCACTCAGTTTTTCACCAGATTTGTTTGAACATGAACTGAAAAGAATTTAACCTTAATCCCCAGTGATTTTTATTATGTTAGACGATGTCTCCTGTTTGGATTACCTAACAAGGTTACGGTTGTCGAAGATACTAGATGTGGAGGACAAATGGACGATACTGGCGGATCATCTCGGCTGTGGACACATGGTAGAGTTCATTCGTGTTTGCTTAGATGATTCTTCCTCGCCAACTATGATGCTACTTGACCAATACGAAGTAAGGTTTTGATAATCTTTTACACAAATAGAAATTTGAAAGACAAAAGTGCATCAAAAAGTGAATTGGCAGGTTTTCCCCAAAAAATTATAATAAAATGAAGTTTGTCAATTCGGTACGACCATGTCCTCTGGATTTATGCTCAATGGATCTACAATGAAAAAAAAAGAAATTCCGTGACAAATCCTAAAGGCATTCTTCTGGAATTTGCCACGGGATTCGTTTAACTAACTACTCCTGAAACTTCGTGTCAAATTGTCTGAAACTAATAAAAATGTTTGCAGCAAGTTCCAAATGCAAATTTGTCAACCATAACCCAGTCCCTGGAAGATATGGGCGAAACACTTGGAGTACATTTGATACAGGCTGGAAATGAGCAACAATGACGGATGCCTAAATCTTTGTATTTTTGCGGTCATTTTTTTTACGTATATATTTGATCATATTCAGAAAAATCTTTTTGATATTTGCAATATTTTAAGATGGATTACTACAGTTACCAACATATAAGTAAAAGCATTTTGGGATGCCCTTATGGAAGATCCGTCACTCAGTTTACTCAACTTACAGAAACAGTAACTATAAAACAGAAGCTAATATCCTTTAAAATTCAGAAAAAGTATACATTTAGTGAACATTTCTAAGAAACACATAGTCGTAATGAATAACACATAATACATGACAAAACAACATGGATAACCTTTGCGACGGAATGTAACGTTTCGTGATGTAACGACTCAGTGACTGCGAAGATAACGCTGTCGCAAGTAATAATTGTAGGGCATTGTGTCGCCTTTTTTCCACTCCGAATAAAGCAATTTGAAAAGGAAAAGATGGAATACAATCATCAAAGCACCAAGCATCAGCCAAAACATTATTGGAAGACCACCCAAACGATGACCATGTTTGTGAAGTGCGATTAATCCAAGCTCATGAGCTGGAGCATCCATAACCTAGAACAAATAACTTTGTAAAAGTCTGCTTTAGTATCACAGGTAATGTCAAATCCGTTCGGCGACATATGATATAGTTCTGAGATGCTCATCTCCGACTACGAAAGATACTGAGATATCGGATGCTTTGGATTCTAAAATGAAATAAATAAAACACTGAGGACCCATAATATTGCTAATGCGGAGTATTGGCTTTTCTACTTCATCGTTGATAGTTGAAATGACTAATTTTACCCACTGAGTAAAACCAATTTTCGTTAACTATCCTGGATTTTTGAAAATCCATTTCTTTCCTTCAAAAACACTAGTTGAGCAGTAACATGGAAAACCATACCTCAACAACGTGTATCGTTCCTCGCAGTTGCTCGAGATGATTTTTGTTATGTGAAATATATAAGATCGGAGTAGATGGTTTAGTTATTTTAATCGGAATATGTACACTCGAGCGTCCGATAGCTATCGGATAATTTAAACAGGCTGCATCACATGCAAAAACCTTTAAACTTGGAAAGTTTTTGAACATAACAGGAATGATTAAGGAAGACTGATGATAAATAATCGCCAGTCGCTTTCAACAATTCTGCGAGAAAACGACTGACTCGTCATCCGTGCAACATTTGAAGTGAGCAACTGCAAACCGGCCACAGCCTTGCATAGAGTTCTTGAAAGCGATTAGCGATATCAACTGCCAGTTAATCCAAGTTCTCTTTTTGATAGAAAAAAAGAAGAAATTAAAAAATCCGGAAGATATCCAACCTGCGAATCAGAGGAGATTATGAAATAAGGTTGATTACCATTACTTAAATGGACACTTATTGAAATCCTTGTGTCAAGAGAATAAGCTAGATTTTTTACAGTAATTTCTCGCAATAAATCAGCTGGATCAATATCTACTTCCAAATGCTCACGCGAAAACCTGCAAAAGTAACACCAATTTAATAGAAGACCTTCTTGAAAGTTATATTACATTAGCATACTTATAGAAAAAATAATCACGAAACAGAAATTGTTTACTTGGATGCAAGAAGACTGAGAACGAATGCTTCGGCAAGACCGGTAGCGCCAGCTTTTAGGAGTCCAGAACAGCCACGCTTCTCCAGCGTTAATAACCAAATATCCATCGTTTCAATGACTTCATTGACATTATCGGATTTTTTCCACAGACGGGAAGGTACGAGAAGTGTTGAGTGCCCTGTATAACACATATCCATCATTTTCATTGATGCTGCTGCTGCCTGGAACAGATTGTTAGATTAAAAAAATCCACATGTAGCTGAATGCAGACAATCACTTCATATTTATGAATGAATGCTGCAAAATTCATAAAAGACGAAGGTACTACTCATTATTTCTGGTCAAAATCTTTATATATGTGCAGAAATTTTTGAAAAAAAAAAATATATCGCGGTGTTACACCCGAAACCTCCATTTATTTTCTGAATGAGAAAGATATGAAGCCAAATTAAAATGACATCTACCTCCTTTTGTTCCATACTAACTCCAATTTCCAGTAATGGATCACGCATATTTGATAGCAGCATATAACGCGTAGCATTGATTTCGGCAGCATTAAGAGCATTTGGGGCCAAAGATTTTGAAATACTAAACGTAACCGTATTCAGCTAAAAAGCATATATAAAATAAGAATAAACTCAATCAATAACCAGCAACGCAGAAACTTCAATATTACATAGCAGTTTTTTTCAATACCTTTTGCCAGGCAGCTGAGTGTTCGCGATATAGAAGAGTTCCATCCAGCAAGCTGTAATTTTTGAGTTCCTAAAAGTATGAAAACATAATACTGTGTATTTGGAATGGATTAACTCTGACGTGTCTTCTGAATAATCCAAAGTAATAACGCAAATTTACAGATGGCCAGATTCCACTACTTTATTTTATCTTTATATTATCTTTCACTATCCCTTATACCAGATTAACGACTCAGTATCTTGTCTCGAATCCAAAACATTCAGTATATTCAATTGAGATTACCTATGCGTAAGGTATCTTAATGCCTTTCATGCACGATAAATTAACGCCTTCGACTTTATATATTATCTTATAAATTACAAGCAGAAAAATCATTGAAAAGCTGCTCACATTTTTAGAAAGAGATCGATTTCCGAAAAATTCATGTTAAATCAAAAAATGTCAGAGAAGGATAATGTACCTTCGTAACACCTTCATCCAGCAATCTTAGCTCAGCATTTTTGTTTTTTCCGACGGGTAATGGTGAAATATAATTGATGACGCAGAGAAAGCGTAAAAAAATCTCGCGTTTCTGCTCAACCGTAACAGTTTCGGGTATTTTGGTGCATGTAGCAACAGCCAGTGTATGTGCTCCATCTGACTCGAAATAACGCGTATAAACCGGATCATCCAAGCTGCTACTGAAACATAATACAATTTAAAGGGATTCATTCCTGAGACTTTTCGTACGTTCACTTTGTCTTATCTGTTTGCCTGATCCGAATTTTACTTGACTTATCCAAGTCCCACATCTTTAGTGGTGGCTGTTCTATTAAGACCATGCTATCACTTTGCATAAGAAACTTTTCAGTGTTTTAACGCGTGGCACAACGCAGTGATGTGTTATTCATTGAACAACAATCGATAATGCTTGCTGAGTTTAATGATGCAAAGAAGCAAACCTCTTTTTTAGAGTCCAATATTCCGAAATCTTCACGGATAGTTCTATTTCGATATCATTACTCTGAAACGAAAACAAAAATAAACCAAATGAGGACTATTTGAAATTTTCAATATAACAGAATAGATTAGATACCAATGGATTTGTTGCCTGAAGTTCCTGAATCATAAGATGTGGTCTTGTTCGGTGAGCATAAACACGTTGAGTAATACACAAACACTGATCCATCTTCAATAAAAGATTAATGAAAAGATGCATTAATATAATAAATCTTACCAAACTTCCTGATATAAAGGAATTAAAACATAAGTTGAAGAACAATTAAAAGCACGTACAATATGGTAACATCGGACAGTGATGATTGTGCCATCACGATAATCATTTACATAATTTTCAGCAAACGATTCTGAATCCTGAATTTTCGTATCAATACTAGGAAAAAAGGCACTTCGTATCGATAAAACCCGAGACGTTTTTAACCGCAGCTCTCCATCGCCACCCATTCCGATAAACCTTAAAGAACTATTGTTAAACAAACTGGTACTATTTAACAAATAATATGCCTAGATCTTAATACTTTTAAACTCAATACACCGATCCGACCAAGAATCGTAACTAGCATACGTAAGCTAATGGTGCATTTCAAAAGCTTACAAAGTATAGAAGTATCGAAGAATACCAAAACTAACCCATTGCCGGTGAATCCAAACTTTCTGTTGGAAACTGCAACAACATTATCGTTTTCGGAAAATTTCCAAGCACTCAGACGCTCAGTAAGACATTTCTGCGATTCTGAGACATAAGGCGCAGAAGTTATGGAGGATATAATGAAGTAGAGTGAAAAAAGGATGAGAATAGCCGTTAAAGAAACCCGTCTCGGTATTGAAAGTTGCCGTAGCCATTTTCTTAGCTCGAAATCATCCAAACGCCTGCACTGTACCCTTCTCAGAGTTGAAAACATTACTAGCCTATTACATCAAACTAACCATATATTTTCCTAGGCCACTGACTGCATCACTGAATCCTGAAACTTCAAAATTCATCCACCATATTTACATCATTTTTAACTTGTCATTTCCAAACTAATATCGTACCAAAGCTCATTTATGATATCAGGTACATATAATTTTGCTAAATATAATCATACACGTAATATCAAAACGTAAAGAACGCTGATAAAAGTGATAAACGTTGTTAGCCAATCGGAATGCTGCAATTAGTGCAAGACATGAATAACGGGAAGGAGAAAGACGTTAACGTTTCACAGCAGGAGCGTCGAGAAATAACAAGACCGTATTTGTTAACTTACAAACAAGATGGCGGTGGTTGTGGTATTTGGCATTGTGTGTTTTGTATGAGGGTGGGTGATGCCACGATATAATTGGAAGTTTGCGAGGGAGTTACTGGGAGGTGTTTATTTCAGGTTATCACAGGATGTTTTATCCATGCTATATTGACCTTGGGAAAGCAGCTAGGGAGTTATTCACAAAGGGATACAGTAAGTTTACTTTTGTTTGGCTTTACTAACGTGATAACATTGTAATATTTAGTTTTGATAAGATCATATGCTCGAAAGACAGTGTGACGTTTGTATATCCGGTATGACCAGTCTGTATTCAGATTACATTTGTGTTGATCACATTAAATGGAAGTATTGGTCGCATTAAATGGAAGTTTTAGAGTCGTCCTGTCATATTACTATAACTTTCCGTCTATTCAATGTAATCTTCATCTGTCCGCATAAGTATAAATTCACTAATCTTCTACAAGTCTTGCACTGTACCTTCAGCTCATACTGACGTGTCTTAGTACCAAATAATCCACTGATGATTTATATATTCAAAGCTGATAAAGAAAAGTTTTGTCCAGAAATAGAAACTGCACTTCTTAGTTTTATCTCGTTGTTTTTACTTCTAGGAGTAAAAAAGACTTCTAGGAGTTGTTTTTACTTCTAGGAATTTTTACTTTTACTTCTTTTTACTTCTCTTTTATCCTTCTTTCTTTCCAGATTTTGGCTCCCTACGAGTAGACACATGTTCGAGATCAGGAGAAAATCAGGAAGTCGAGTTTTCTAGTGCCGCTGTACACACTATTGCTACAGGAAAACTTGCTGGAAATTTCGACGTCAAATATCGTATACCTTCGTATGGTAAGTATACCCATGTTTCATATGCTGTCACAATAGGTTAGTGTTAGTGTCACAGTGCAGAAAGTATTTCGATACTTAATATTGAATATACGTATGCGCATTTTGTCGTTTTTATGTGGACATAATAATTGAAGCAGATAATTCGGGTGTTGTGACTTGTTTATCGGATCATATCCATCGTAATTATTAGTTTGAAATCATTTTCAATCGGAGGGAGATACATGGTTTTTGTGCGAAAGTACGGGAGTGTTGTGTCCCAGGTGTGGTTCTGACGGAGAAATGGAATACGGAAAATTTATTGGGTACAATTGTCGAAATACAGGACCGCTTCGCTCGTGGTTTGAAACTTACGCTAGACTCGTGGTATGCGCCACATAATGGCAAGCGATCAGGTCGGGTGAAAGCTGAGTGGGTGAACAGGAATGTTACGGTGCATTTTGCATTTTCTTGCAGTTTTGAACTTTCGTATATCCAGTAGTTAGTATGATTGAGCTATTGTGGTTCGTCCGGAAATTAATAGCAAATTCGCGGTATTACTAATAATGCTGCTGATGGCATCATTCTCAGCTCTTTTTTCGTATTCAGTGACCGTTTTAGAAATAACACTATTTATTTAAGCTATGGTATTTTGTATTTTCTAGGAATTGGTCGATATTGAAGATTTTGTCACATGTGTTACAAAACTCTTCTGTATGCTGAGTCCGCTTAACATTATAATGCGACTAGTTGTCCAAGAAATATTATACCGAAAAATTACAAAATGAATTTTGATGTTATTTGCTTTTTTTCTAGTGTAATCTTGATGTTGGTTTGGATACCGGTCCTCAGATCAGTTTTTCTGGGGTCACTGGTTTGCATGGGTGGTTGATGGGAGTACAGAGCGCATTTGACGTTTCGAGCAGTCAGCTCAAGGTACCAGTAACTGAATACACCTTTGAAATTCTTTATTAATTCCTTTAATAAATTGTACCAGTAACTGAATACACCTTTGAAATTCTTTATTAATTCCTTTAATAAATTGCTTGGTTCTATGTTACTTTAATGTTTGATAATCGTAGAAGGAAGAACATACATTTTTCAGAGCCTTAGCTTCGCATTTGGAAGAGTAGGAACAGATTATGTTTTGCATTCATATGTGAACGATGCACGAGAATTCGGTGGTTCATTCTATC